TAGCTCCTGGGGGATTCCCTGTTTTGGGCTTTGCTCTCATTAACTGCAGCCCCAGTTTTCTCCCTCCCATCTTTCTTGCTCTGCCTGTTCATAGGAAGAATTGCTTTAAAGGAAGCAAAGCTGTCTTGGTTGCCATCCTTCGACAAGCTTCTGCTCAACATCGGTTCTGCACGTTCACCTGAAACCACCACAGTTCTCAGTAATGCCCACTAATAACAACTAGTATCGGGCACAGGAGAAATGAAATGAGCCAAAATTTATGATCTCCAGGTAACAGGGAAAAACCTTAAGGTAGCAATGGGACATATCCCATACACATATACAGCAGGTCAGCCATCAAGCCAGAATGAGAGCGAGCTCCGCAGTTTCCTGCCTCTTGATAGAAACTCTCACAGATACTCAGCCCATGTCCCAGTGGACAACTTCTTAGCTTCTTATTCTGAAGGCAGCCTGAGCTTTTGGCCAAAAACTGAACTGCCCTCTCCACAGCACTGAAGACATCACTGAATTCAGTTACACACAACATTTCCTGTGTTGGAGAAAAGGATGGGAAAAACTGCGCCTTGTGTCTTGTAGCTGCTGACCAGAGGGTAGGAAACAAACACTAAGAAACGTTGTTAGGTGCTCTATATCTGGTTTGATAAACAAAAACTGAATGCTGAAGAAGTTTCTAACTTATTTACAAAGTAACTCAAAAATCCCCACCAAACTACAACACAGAAATAAATACTTTTTATAGGCCTTCAGAGGGAAAAGAAAGTTCTACCTTTTCCTTCTGCCTTGTAGGAAGGTTGTCAATGGGCAGCTGCAGCAGTGCGCTGAACGTATGCTGCGCATCCATTCGGGGCGCGACACTGAAGTGTAAACTGAGTGCTCCTTCCTCCACAGACTTCAAAAAAAAACCTCTACAGACAAGAATTCCATCCATTCACAAGAATTCCACCATTACAGCACATCCCTAATCACACCAGGCCTTATTTTGTACATGGCTTCTCCACACTTAGCAAGAAAAATCTAAAGTTTAGTAAGTCTGTGTATATAAAAGTGAAGGCTTGAATTATGCACCCTCTAGACTTCTCATGGGAGAGTTACTTCAGGGGGGAAGCTTTACAGTCAAATATAGATCCAAGCATATGTAACAGCAATCCTGATAGCAGGCTATCACTTTGGATGGAAAAAAAATATAACAGAACGGACTGCACACTTTACAACAAGAAGTTGCTGCCTTCTGGAATGAGCCTTCCAGATGAATCAGTCACAGGTACTCTATTTAGTGACACAGCTAACATCAGCACCACAGTACGTCCAAGTCCCTTTGAGCAAGAAATTCTTTCAAAATGCAAATTTGTAACCTGACAGCTCCTAAAATCTCTTTTATTACGGTGCACTTCTGCAACTTATCTGCATTAGTAACAGATCACAGAGCCAGGGCCGGCACAACGCCTTCCTGCTGCACACACAGGAAAAACAGACCTTAGGAAAAAGCAAGTCCTGCTCAGGCAAACCTCACCAGCTCGTCAGCCACAACACGGTCTGCATGTGCTCAACAGTTAGTTTCAGCAATATAGACAGGAAGATAATTGCATTTACCAGGCTCATTCAAGAGAAGTGCAGCAATCAGCACAGCAGTCAGCCTGCACAAATACCCAGCTGAATCTCCGCTCACATCTGCACTGGTACAGATGCATAAGCAAAAGTCAACCCCATAGAAACACACGCACACAAAAAGAAAAAACGGACAAAAAATAACCCGTACTCAATTCAATAAATACCCATGTCAAGAGATCACATGTGATTATGTTTTTGCCATTTTATAAATTCAATCCTATAGCAAGAGAGTCACCCATCCATGACAATGGGACTCAACTTGTGATAGTCTCTCATTCTGTGGCCTCTGCAGAGATCTCAGAGATTCAGCAGGCACACCTCTGCAGCACAGCCATCGTTTCCCACAAACATCACCACAAATCAGGGATTGAGAGAGGAACCAGAACACAAAAAATTTCACAAAGGAATTAAACGGTCACAAACTACTGCATCTCCAAGCCAACACTGTCAACCACATTACTGAAATTCAGGCGGGGGTCCTCACAGCAATGCAGAAAATGAAGCAGGTTTTTGCCATATTATCTAACTTCTGAGATGCCAACCTTGCTCAAAAGTCATGACATCTTTGCCATTTTTCAGGCAGGACGAGGAAAGCAATGCTGAGGTCAAGTAATTTCAGAATGAAGACTTCTATTCAAAACTCTCCAGGTCTGACTTTCAAAGAATGAAGAAGGATGCATTTACCACTCAAGCAGTGCCCATATCAAACTCATGCTTATTGAACAAAGCCAATATGAACACTCTGAACGCTAAGTCTATAGGGAAAATCTCACTGTTCTCTGAACTGAAAGCACTGCACTAGGAAAACCACAAAAACACTTCAAGGGAAAAAGCAGCTACTGAAAAAGCCAAGTTAACTTCACGAATGACACAAAGGTATTAGTGACTTTCTTCCCCAAATATCAAATGGCAAAACCCGCATCTTGATTAAGAAGTTCATTTCAGAAATACTGGCATTTAGCACTACTGCCTCTTTCCAAAGAGGAATCAATTTGCAGGAGCGCACAGACTGCCACGCTTGGCCGGACAACCAGCCCGTTCAGTTCAACAGCCCGTTTTTGATAACCATCAATGTCAAATATCTCAGAGAAAAATGAAAGAAGCTGTGCCAGACAGTGATGGAAGAGGGGTAGGTGTAAAGTAACACCTGAGTAATATTAACTCTAAGTTACAGAATGAGACCACGGTTACACAGGGCAAGTTTTCACATCAGCTGTTGAACACATGGGCCAGGGAGGCTGAGCCGGGGTGAACAACGAACCTTGAAGGGTGCAGGATCCCCTCCCATGCTGCCCTGCAATGATGCACTCTCGACATCAGACCAGTCGCACTCCCTTTCCTTACTACCAGGTGTGTGACTCAGCAGCAGGAAGTCCTCTTTCAATATCTTGTCCCTCCACCAATGCTGCAGCACCAGCCCTGTGGTGCCTCCTGCTCCAGGCTAAGGCTGGATGACAGGGCTCAGCACAAGTTGGTTAAATCCAGCAAAACGCACAGATCACTGGGAGCCAGCCCTGCTGCCTGAGCAGCACCGATGCTGGCTGTGCAAACACCTTTTGCTTTCCGAAGGCTTCGTATAAAGCACGGGCACATAGCTAACAGTCAAGTACTTGCCCACTGGTCCTATTTAAGTGGACTTCTTAGGAACATAGCTCAGTTTTTAAGAAACAAAAACTGTTTCTTAAAAGACAAGAAAGACATCCAATGACCAGCAGCTCCCTGGAGCAGGGCATTCTCTTTTTCCAAAGGTGCAGGCAAAGCACCTTTGCTCACATTTTTCTCAAGAAGTTGCCCAATTTGTTCCATCCCAAGTCATTTGCTTAATTGCTATCAAGGCCCAAAGCTCCTTTCAGCATGATCAGGGACAACAAAACATAGCTGGAAGTTCACAGCCTAAAGAACTGAAGCCAAGATGGCTATCACAAAATTCAAGTCATGAACACTGAAATGAAAGCATCAACCTCTGGCCCCACCGCCAGCTAAAAGCAGCCCACTTAGGAAAGCAGGCACTAAAATTCTGAAAGCTTCATTTTAAAAGTGAAAGTGAACACGGTTAGCTCTGGACCAAACCTGGCACCAGGCAGCCCCACGAGCTCCCACAGCTTTGGCCATGCTTGGGAGGAAGGCTCTGATGACCAGCAGCACAGGGCTGGCACCTGACACGCACGCAGCACCCACAGCAGAACTGCACGTCAGATGTGCAGAAGCACAGAAGCAGAAGTACCAGACCTCTCCCTGCACAGCCCTTCCTCATTTCTACTGCAGCCTACACCGACATCAGTGACTGCCAAGAGTGTGCAAGCAGCACAAACTCGTACTGGGGCCAAGTATCTTCGATGCCCTCCCTCACATTTAAATTATGCCAGGCTCATGCTAATGGGGCTTCCCTGGTACTGGCAGTGTGGGATGTGCACGGTCCAAACGCCTCATTTACCACCTACCCAACTGCAGTATTGCTGGCAGTACGAATGAGATGCTAAAGATACCATCTCCTAAAATAACCCATTTAATGTTCTGGCCCGGCCTGCTTTGCAGCAGCAGAGCACCAGAAACGCTGCAGCAGCAGCGAGGTTCTGTGGGGTGGCACTACAGCTCTTCTGGAGCACCACTGCACGTCTACAGCTGCAAGAGATGGGATGCAGCCCTGGGCAGGCACCGAGGAGCAGTGGAGGCACGGCATCTAATCCTTCGCACAGAAGGCTGGAAAACAGGCGCAGTTACCTGGGAGAGCGGGGAATGGACACGCTTCTGTTTTCAGAAAAACACTGGGTTTTTCACACAGTTTTCAAGCACAAAATGTTTATTTTTTCTTCTTTTTAATCTATACAATTTCTTGGGGCTTTTAGTGCCGCTGACTCTGTCAGTGTACAAGGGATGGACTATACAACAGGCAATAGCGACAAACTGTAGGATTCAGTGCAAGCCGAAGGAAAACTGGTGTGAGAACATATTTTCCATGTTTGCTCATGAAGCATACAGACATGAATCTAAAAAACCCAAACAAATTAAAGATACATGTTACAGAGAACAGAAATCTCTTACTACAGTAAGTATTTTGCCCAGGCAGAAGACTCTGCATAATTGTCTATAAAACTCAATTCTAACTGAATTGATGGAATAATATATTCAAAGGGTACAAACAAAATAATTTAGACAGAATAATGCTCGAAGTACAATAGAACTATACAATTCACAGCTCGGCAGCACAAGACATCTCTGCCTGTCAGACAGTAAAGAATGTCATTGCAGTAGAGATACAGAGCAAGGCGCCTTCAGATTTGGCCGCTCGTTTGGCTCCCTGTGCCTGTAGGGATGGCCCTTAGTGCCGTCCATAGAAGTGGAACTTACCATCAGCAAATCAGTGTCAGTGGTTACCTTGTGCCTTTAGACTGAGAGGTGCAGATGCAGACTCTAAGCACAGTAAAAGAGGCAAAAAGCAACCCGCAAACAGGAGAGAGGTGTCCGAGCCGCCTACGGTGCAAACTTGATTAAAAAAAACAGAAAAGAAAAAGGAAAAAAGATTCAAATGAAAGGTGGTGAGATTCCAAAGCTGAAGCATTCATTGCTCACAGAGGAAAAAAGAAAAATAATAGCTTCACATTTTTATTCCATTTCAATGTGAATTCTGTTAGCACTTGAGTGGCAAAGCACGTTCTTAGCCTCTGTTTTGGAACTGAAGGCAGAGCACATGTGTGTACTTACATGGCTCCGACAGCGACCTGCGGACGTGCTCCTGCAACCCAGATTTCCATCAGGCTTCTCACTTAGGATCACGCATAGATTTGTAATTTAACTAAATTATAAAAGCCCGGCAGGGAAAGAAAATGTAATCCAATTGGCTACTGTGGTCTGGAAGAAAGCAGAACTCGTGCGTCTGCTACAGCAGCGGCTGCAACCTGCAGCGGCTTTAGCAAAGGCTATAAGGAATGGATTGCACTGCCCGAAGCTATTATCTGTTCTTATACACAGCTCACTAGGATCACTCTGTCAATGCTCCTATTTGCAAATGTGCATTTCACTACTCCTTGTACAAACACAATAAATTTCCATCAGTATCTCAAACAAACTTCACCTCACTTTTTTTTTTTTTAAAGCCTCGGAAATGAAAATTCAACACATCAGTTAAAATTAAAGCATTTACAGCAGAATGAAACTGATGACGAGCTTCGACTGTAAACCTTCAGTATCTTTGCAAAGAAAAAGAACTTTACTCACAAGCAAATCATAAATAAAATACACCTTTCAAATATTTTTACATCTCTTTCCAGCTGGAACTGAAAAGCTGATATTCAAGGCACTGTACTCCTGCAGGTTAGTACAATTTCTAGTCATCGATTCAAGTACATCAACTTCAAGGCTTGCAAGTGTAAAACATCAGAACACAACATAATAAAGTGTCTTCAGCAATGACATATATGCAGATATTGCCGTAACAAACAAACGACCTGTTGCGAAACCCATCACAGTGATTGCTGGATGCGGTGTATGGCTGTGTAGGCTGGCAGGCCCGCTGCGGACCCGCGCCTCTCTGACACATATGGCATCTACAGATGGACACGAGGTCGCTATCACCGTCACCTATCAGAGCCCGCTGAGCTATGTCAGTCTCACACGTGGGCCGGGCGGGTCGGCCGCGGGCTGCTGCAGTGGCACAGGGTACATCTGCAAGCAAGCTTTGCCGAGAGCTGAGAAATGAGCAACGCTCTGCCCTCCTACCAGCCCTGGCCGTGCTGCCGGCCCCGACCACTGCACTCCGTAAAGCGGCGTAGGGAAAACTCCTCCGTACTGACAAAGAGGCATCGCATAGGGTGTTACTGTGCCAGAAGGGGTAGTACCTGGCATAGGCACTGGCATGGATGGCGAAACTCCAGGAGTTAGCGCAGACATGGGACAAGACACTGGAACAATGCACCTTTTCCCCAATCCTGTTCTGACTGAATTAACCTACAAAAAGAAAAATAAAAAAGCATGGCTATTAAGTGTCTATCTTCCCACCCGTGGGATGCAGGGGCGGCATGCACAGGAGGACAGCCCAGCTCTTGGCCTCCTCACACCTCTTACTTGTATTCTTTTTTGGAAATTAATAGCAAAGGTTGACACAGGGAAGGATGTCTCAGTATAATCTTACTGTTTAAGGAATCAGGAAACATTACTGGGCAGGTAAGAATGTAATGCCGCAGAATCCCTGGAAAAGCTTTAACGTGCAAAGTAATCCCCCTGTTGTCCCTCAGCGCTACTGCATCTTGCGTGCAGAAGTAAATAAATAAAGCCAAATGCAGAATGAAACCAAATCTCACTGTACTTCTTACAGCCCTTCAAACCTTTAGCACATTATTGCTGTAGAAAGCTGTTCATGCTGGGCCGTTCGCCCAAGCACAACCAAGGGCAGCAAAGAAGGGAAGACTTTGTGTAGAGGTTCACTACCCAGCACTGGGGCTGTGGGATCAAGTCAGGTAAACCAGAAGGACTCAGCAGGAGCTGACCCTGCCCAGGGGCTGCTGGAGCCAGTCCTGCTATTTTGCTGAGATTCAATTAGCATTCACTTCAATTACTCTGTTTTTGCATGCTAAGCTCAGAGAAAGAGCTCTGTCTTCCTAAACATGAAGATGGCAGGGGCACCCGAATTACACGCTTCATAATGCACAATGCCACAGAAACAATAATTATACAAAACGCTGCCTGGTCTCAATCTGGATGAGATTTACAGTACTTCTTTGCTTTTTAAATTTCACATAATTTGCAACTCCCTGCCATGGGTCTCATCAAGCCAGCACCTATTCACGACACAAGAAAAAACAATACTCTCACTTTGGGAGTGTCCCATTAATACCAAAAATATTTCACATCAAACAACAGAATTAGCACAAAGGTGAAAATTAAGAGGAAACGAATATATGTATAGAAGCGAGTGGAATGCTTACTCTAGATTCTGGTTTTAGTCTCTCAGTTAAAAATAAAAATGACAATGGCACTCTGATGCACTGCTCTGGGGTGCTCACCTGTGCTCCAGAGCAAATTTTAGAAGCACACAAACATCCAGTGCCTTCCACTGCTTTTCTAATTTCTGATCTGAAACGTGAATGCGATGGCAAACGTCAAAGTAAGAAATAGCTACTTTGGTACAATGAATTTAAAATCATTCATCCATAAAGATTCACCAAAACTAACAGCAGAGAGCAAAGACCAACAAACGGAGCGACTGAGGACGTGCACATTTATACAACATGACGACTTCTGACGGCTGTTCTTAGAGCCACGCTTGGCATCCTCAGAGTGATGGTTTTCATCTTGCTAGATGGTTGTGAGTGAAGTGGCTGGCCAAGAACGCCGGTAGAGGTACCGAGCTTATATAGGGAGTCTCTTCTAAAAGCAAGGGACTTATCAAGCAGCACTGAAAATGCAAGATGACGTTTTAGCATGTTTAAAACTTATACAACTGAAAAAAGCCTTCTTTTCAGATCTTTTCAAATGCTGAGTAATCTACTTCTTTACCCGATTTATGCTGCATTACCGTTCCTTGCTCAGCTAATCAACTCAGTAAAGCAGTGGCTATATTTAAGGCCACGCATGTCAGTCAGGAATAAATGCCATCGTGTTGCAAACCCAAGCGTTCCACGTACACATTGAAACCTGTTTGTATGATGACAAAGGCACGTTCACAATGTAAGGTTGCACCCTCCACCTTGCGGCACACTTTGAACAAGCAAACCCATGCTGTGAGCAACAAAGACAGCCAGCCCATGACTCCCCCTGTACTGCAGCCCCTTAAACAAACTCATTTTTCAAACCACAATCTTTGGACAACCAACAAATCAACATCGACGGAGGCTGAAACCCTTCCTCCTGCACACAAAAATTGACTGGAATATTGAGATAAGCAAGCAGTGGTACAGTCCTCAAAACAGAACTGGATTGCCCAGCTGTAGCAAAGCCACAGAGGCTGCAAGGCACCTTGCTGACAAAATTTGTAATGAAGTTATCTTGGGAACTGAAAGCAAGGGGCACAAGATCTGAATCCCATACCAACTCAAAGAGCCCATGTTTAGAGCACGCTGAAAACAGATGTAAAAACAGCCTGCGCTCATACAGGACCAGTGGCTTCTGCTTGTTTGTTTTTAATCCTCTAGTTCTCCAGCTGGTTCTTATCCCTCCTTTTTCAGTGTACCAAAAGTTAAGAGGTGTTACTGAAGATTTGTGTTTCTGTTCTTCAAGCTTCCAGAAAGCTGCTCTGACATTCAGAGCAAGCAGGCAGCATTGATCAGCTTCAATCAAGCACAGATGCATCGTATTTGTAGCATTCTTTCAACCCAACGGACGTGGAAGACACAGCCAAAGGTGTTAACAGTCCTGTTCCATTCTCACACCTGCAGCTATCTCCACAGTGCCCGCTTCCCAGGCAGGCGGCTCATTAAAATGAGGATGCACTAAGTGCAAACAGATGTGCAGTGATTACTAATAGTGCCTACACCACCACACACGTCAGCAGCTGGCACGGACTGCCACGTCCCACAGATACAGCCATGTCACAGACTCAGAGCATGTTTACAGCTTTTCTTTTTTGGTAATAATTTTTCTTTAATGTCCATGCAGTCGTGTAATGGTACAAAGGGACAAAACACATTTGCTACACTCCTCGTTCCCAGACATCTTCACACAACACCTGTAGCCACACAATATCCAGTGCTTTTTACACAGAAAGCAGCTCACAGTCCTAGATATAATCCCTGTGGTGGTAACTACAATTACTTGTAAGAAAGGATCACTGCATAACGCCTTCAACATGGATAAGCATGAGGGAAATCGCTATTTTCAGGCAGATTGACTTAATTCTGCCTACTGTCTCCTACTCCCCTTTCACATTACTGACAGTAAGAATCCCTGCATATTTCCACGTTTAAATAAAACCTCTGAAAAGGAACATTTCATTGCTCTAGTAACGAAACTGGAAGCCTCAAGGTTTCCCCACAAGCTTCTAATATGCATTAATGGAGATTTGCAGCCAAACAAACTGGCTTTTTTTTTTTTTTCCCTGATGGAATTGCCGCTTTCACAGAAACAAAGCAGAATTTCAAGTCCACCTTTGCACCCAAATTATTGCTTCCTATACCTGTGACAATAAAAAGGAAGAGAATAAAACCCCTAAGTCTTTAGGCAGCTTATTGAATACCTAACTTCAAGATTTCTCTTCTGTGCTTTCAACCTTAAAAGCAGCCTTTATTTAATTTAAAAAGACACTGATAACACATTGTATTCACACACCAAGCAGATTTGCTGCTGCTGGCTAGAAGCATCTTAGAATAATAGAATCCTTAGGGTTAAAAAAGATCTCTAAGGTCATCAAAAGTCCAACTGTTAAGCCATCACCAACACGTCCACTGAAAGGGCATCTTGAAAGGAGGTGGGGGGAAAATAAATACCTGTTTTCAGGGTGAAAGAGAAGACTTGAAATGAGCCAAACTAGCTTATACATAAATAGCAATCTACAAACAGCAAGAGAGTATTAAAATAATAATACCCTTAGCAATGACTTATTGCAATTTTATTTGTGGGAAAAAATGGACACAAAGAAGAGAGCCATCTGGTTTGATGTCTTTGTCATACCTTGTATGGACTGCACCCCAGGAGGATGCTCACTGGCTGTGTGGAAGAGCTCAACAGCTCCTACTCCTGCCTAAAAACTCTTCAAGGAGACACTTTCCAATCCCATAACCTCCAAAGGAATTCAGAAATGCCTACATTTCCAATTATTACAATGGGCCAATGTTAGCTTCTCTCACAACAAAATACTTGGTTGGACTATGAGACAGCTGGCCCTACCACTTTCCTGCTGGTTTGTTCCAATGTTTCATCATTGGCTCTATCAAAGATAAAAAGAATGATAAGCATCACCATGCTTCCAATCTATCTAGCTTTTATTTCCAACATAAAACCTTATTAAAAATTTCTCTGATGAGCTGGGAATCTGTTTAGTGCTCCTTAGTTCTTTTATTGCAAAGGTAATCTTGCATTTAATCAAAAAAGACAAGAAGATGGTGTTAACAGATGGTCTGAAGAAGTACAGCATGAGCTTTATATGCTCCCCGTTAGAAAGCTGTTTTTTTTCAGTCCTTTGTGATTTCTTGAGTGCTTTTTGTCTAATACCATTTTGAAGAGTGGATTCCATACTGATTTATTGCAAGTACAACATCTCCCCATATAACTCCAAGAACTGGTGTCACTGGGTCACTCTCCTGGCTGCCCAGGCTAAGTATCCTCTCTGCTTCCTCCCTCTCCTCCTGGCTGTTTTTCCTCCCAGCATCATGAAGCATTATTCTTCCTTCACTTCAGATCCCCTTTAAGGTGAATCTGAAAAGGTACTCAACTTCTACAGCAGCCCTCACACAGCTTTAAAAGGCTCCTTCATCACATTTGTGGGCCTGCTTTCTGCTTCCTATGGCCCAGGAGGCTGGGTGGATGCAGCACAGTGGCAGCTCCTGCTCCCGGCACAGGGAACGCAATTCAGCAGTGCTGGTCAATATTGGAAGGCTTGAAGTAGCCCGCGGCATGCTGTGCCACTCCTGCGTCCAAAACACCCTAACAACAACCCTAAAACAGGAGCCATCCACATTTACATGCCTTCTGCAGCCCACATCCCCACTAGGACTGGTGCATGAAGTCACCTGCCACCAGCTGGCACAGAGCTCTCAGTCCCCAGCTATGAGTGTTCCAAGCACCAAGTGACAATGTGAAGAAGTGCAGGGAATCCCAACCTTTCTATCTTCTTAGTCAATGATCCAAGTTACTTCAGCCTTGGTAAATCCTTGGAACAGACATATTCTAAAAAAACAAACCCTCTAAAACCCAGCATGTTAAGACAGCACATGGCAGAAGGTAAAATTAATCTTAAATTGATGTTTACATCATTAAGATAAGAAGACTCCCCCACATCTCTTTTCCAGAGTTGCAAGCAGGCAGAGCACCCCCACCAGATCCTTCCAGCTACCACAGGAGCCTCACAGAAAAGACAACGAGATGTGAAAAGCACATCAAAAAGACTAAGAGACAACAAAGGAACAGAGCTTGTGCCCTCACCATGGCTTCCTAGAGCATCTCCAGAGACCTTCTATTTGTGTTTACTGCACCTTCATGACTTGTTTTCTGAGAACTAACAGGGTCTTGACGTCACTTCTACTCCAGAACACGTTTATGCTGTTTAAACAATCACTGTGGAAAGGGATTATTTACTCTCCAGCTTTTGTTCATTAATGGCCACTATGAATCGATACAAAACTGCTTAATAAGCTCACACAAGTGCTTTTCCCTGTGAAGTCAGTGATCTACAGAGACCAGCAGGTACAAAAACAGACACATCAGCAAGTTCCTGCTTCAGCAGGTCCCACCTGAACAGTGACTGAGCTGCCACTGCTGCATCCAAGCCTTCTGCCTCCTACATGCCAAAAAAGCAATCGTTTTCTACCCAGGTCCAGTTATCTTGTTTTTAAGGGATTACCACGGAGTCCTTCACTAGTTTTACTCCTGCAATTTCTTTGCCTTTAAAATTAATGTTTTCCTCTATTTGGCTCAATTTCCGCTCTTCAAAAAAAAAAAAAAAAAAAAAAAAGAATCCAGCAAAAATAATTAGTTGAGGAACCATCAGTTTGTGAGAATGAGAAAGGGATCTGGAAAACCAGACCAGGGTGGGAGAGAATTCTGAACTGGGATTCTGGCTGTGTCCTCAACACTGTCATGCAGTCACACAAACAAGCACTGAACGCTGACACAGACACAGACACACACCATGGTACTGTTTGCCTGCTACGGAAAATAAGAGAGGACAAATGGGGCACCACTGAGTCTGGCTTCGTTGCAGTTCACTTCCACGGAATTCCTGAGATGGTATTTCCATGAGGCAAAGGGCCTTACAGATGCACAAGATTAGTACTGCACAGTGCAGGATATCAAGCAAGGGTCAGAACAACACTGAGCAGTGCCCTGTCTTGGCGCAGTACCTGCAATGCTTGTGCTAAGATAAAAGCTTGCTGCCAACAGGCCACTAGGCCACTAGCCCAGCCACTGCCTGCCTGAGGAAGATTCATGTTAAACATCAAAAAGCAGAAAATGTTAGCAATAATAAAAACTTAAGTCAACGTATGGTTAGTGGTATTAAGTATTGCTGCATGTTACTGCTAATGAGCAGTCTGCAATTTAAAAATATATATTTTAAAGTATATATATTGCGGCCCGTATAGCTCCCAAAATTATTCCAAAAGACAATTTAAAAAAACCAACAAAACTGTTTTAGTACTTAATGAAAAGAGTTGGACATTTGTACGAAGCAGCTATCTGAAGTAATTTAGTTTACGTCCTCCTCCAAATCTGGGTTCTGCAAAGGCTGTCAGACACATAGCAAAAGGAACGTTCTTCAAGGAGCGCCACTTACTCCACATGTCTCATTCTGTGTTTGCATGGGATTTGCCTTCGGCTCCATGTCCTGCCTTTTTTGGTTCTGCTTCAGTTGGTTTAAAGAAGGTTTTGCCTGTGCAGCTCCAACAGTTTTGCTTGTCCACTGGTCAACCAGCTTGTGAAGATCATCGGTGAACGTTCCCTTCTTGTTGTTACTGTTGTTGGCCTGAACCTGCAGAGTTGATTGCGGAAGGGGCTCAGGACACGTTACAAGACTGTTTGTAGAGGATCCTGGAAAATCACACACAAAGAAAGTTGACAATGGCGTCTCCATTTCACCACTTATCTGCTCACATAGCTTCCCACACACTGCAATTCAAACAGTGGCTTTCCTGACTTTGCCCTCCCCCTCCTTTCTACAGAACACCTTTGCTTAAAGAAATGGTCCAAGTCCACTGGTCCAAATGCGTTCAGATTATGTCTCATTGTATTACCTGCCCAGAACTTCTCTCAGCTGAAATTCACGACCAAGAGAGAAGGACTAAATGCACAGAGGCACCCCTAGTGCCACCGACACTGCCAGGCTTGCAAAGTCTCTCCATAGAAGACTGCCATGGGTATGTTACTTGCTGCAGCTTCATGCGTTTTAAAAATGTATTTTATTTGCATAAGTGTTCTGCCCTCCTGGAAAAATTTAATTAGCACACAGGTTAAGAGTACAGTTGGCCTCAATGTCTCAAAGGCTCCAGGACCCACAGGCTCCCTCTGCCATCTTGACATTTTGGGAGAAAAAAAACATTATGTGAAGAAGAAAAAGGAGAAAGGAGGCCATAAGTGGGCATGTGAGTTTCTGACACAGAGATAGAGAACTTCTGGGACAGATGAAGGCGGATGGGAAGAGCACTAACAGAAACTGAATTTTATAGGCTTGTATGTCTCTAGGAAGAGATCTGTCCTATTTATCTGTTGGTAACTACAGGTCTGACACAGCAAGACCGGCAGAAAACTGGAAGAAAGTTTCTACAAACAGATTTACTGTATCTAAATATTTTAAATAAGACCATCTCTCCAAGCAAAAAGTTCATGGAACTGCAGTAAAATTGTTACAGAAGCAAACACAAATATTCAGTTTTCCATTTTCTGCTAATGAGCTACCAGTCAATGAAACTGAATAAACTAAGTATTCCTACGGTCATATAAAATACATTAATAGCCTTTAAACGATCATGCATTCAACCTGCAACACAACTTGTAAGTGAACACTGCTCATTTCCTTTTCCTTTTCTCGGGGGAAAGGGACCAGTGAGAAAATAAGTACTTGGACAGGAAAGCTCTTCAATTAGTGCTACATTTCATGCATCTCCACAGGAACAAGAGAGTTTTAAGCTATAAATTCCTCCAGCAAAAAACTGCAGTCATATAAAAGTGTGCATTTAAGGGAAACAAACACACACTCCAGTTTTCTGGCAGCATGCGTGCACAGTCTCACACACAAAGAATACCACGACTGTCTTGCAGCATGCGTAGATCCCAAACATCACAGCACATGCATTATTAGGAAAGTATCACAACTTAGATAGTCTAATTTCATACCAGTATAAGTGCATCAGCTCTATTCATTAAACAACTAGCTTTTAGTAAAAAGAAAAAAGAAAACTCAAAGAAAAAGCATCCCATGCCATGAAGGAAATACTGAGAAACAAAAATGGGATAGTTACTACTACTGTGATCTTTGCCTAGACATAGTCGTTTCAAGGTGGACCCTACAAGGTAAAACAATACAAGACATACAGAATTAGGTAAGACTGAACATAACAAATCTGACGGACAAGCTTCTGTACTTTTAAGCAATCAGAGAGTAGTTATTATGCAAGAAAGGACAGACAAAGTCAGCAGTTCAGGTGAGTAAAGGAAGTCTAAGTAACTGGACAGCTCAAACCTTTATTAATGTGCAGCCATTCAGAAGCTTTGAGAGGTACAATAGCATGCCAAAAGCAAGGTCCCATGACTTAAAGATGCATTTTTTTGTTTGTTTCAAATTGCCTTGGCTTCCTAATAGGAGATTTTGATTCCTATTTATGCAGGAAATGATGTCAATTCAGTTTGTGATAGGAGGCCAAAAATGCTTTCAGGAACAAGTAACGCTAGTCTGGCTGCAAAGACAAACTGTACAATAACCCTGAAACATCCCGTTTTACAAGTCCAAAAAGATACATTGTTCTGCAGGTCTGAGGCCAATTTTCTCAATTATTTATTAGCATGATTTGTGTCTAAATGTGAGATTCTGAACGTTAATTAAAAATGAGTTTCCCTTCATCTCGTCCAAGTGCAGAAAAACAATCCAGCAGAGTAGCTGAGTTCTCATTTAACCAAACTACGTGTTTTTTCATTATTATCTTGTTAGAGCCTTCATTATTTTACATATTCTGTTGGACAGTTATCTACAGTGCCAGATGTGTATAGAGAACCCTATTTGACAGTTAGGTCTCGCCAGACATTGGCACCATTTCCATTAGAGTGCCAAATTTCCTGAAAGGTATTTTGGACTTGATAAGAAGAATATCGTTATGGTATGGGAGGAGATGAACATCTGATATGGGGCATGGTGAGTTTATCGTGAAGAAGCACTTGAACACATGAGTAAAATCAAAAGGCTGGGCAGAAAGCAAGATACAGAATGTATGTGCTTTTCTTTATGCTAAACTGGTGCCACTGTTTAATTTTACTGTGCCAGAAATGCAGCTTTAAACTCAGAGATTGCAGGTCCAGGTTGACATGGGCTCTGAATGAGTCTTCAAAGGAGAAAGGAGAGACATCACTCAGAGACTGGAGAAGAGAAAATAAAGAAGAGAGGGAGGAAAAAAGGGAGAAGAAATGTTTGTGTTCTGATATGGGTGGCATGAGGAGGAAAAGAACGATTGGTTTGAAAGAATTTTTTGTTATTTCCTATAGCTTAATGAAGTTTATATTTCAGGAAAATCAGAAGGACATGACTACAGTAATGTCTTATGCAAGCATGACCAAAAGCTTAGTTTCTCAACTCAAAGCTTAGATGAAAAGTACAAGTCACAGTCACAACTGAACATCGTGTTGCATTTTTTTGGTAATTTTTTTCTCTTTTCCCTCATATATTTTACAACACCTATCTTTTAAAGTTAGCTAGCAACCCCCATTACAGCAACATCGGCGGTAGTAATATAATAATATAATGTTAATTTCTTAACTATCCTGCAGCATTCTGCATGTAGCAATAGGTAGAAGTTGGCACAGTCTGTATGCAAATGAAAAATGCCTGCAAAAACTAAAAGCAGGCAGCTGACTTCAGTACGTGCTCAAATGCATGTTAAAATGTTTAATCACCAGCCCCACTGCTTCCTGAGCACCAAGCCACGAGCTCTGTGCACCCCAGGTGCCAATGCAAACCTTCTGCTCCAAAACATTTGGGAAGTGACAGCACTGATTCTAGACATGCACAAGGTACCCACGCTAAGGGAGCCTGCTTTAAGACAAGTACTACAAAAAGGTGAATCACCAAGAAGAGCTGTTTCTTTCAACTGCATCACTGCAGCGCTGCCTGGGAGAGGGGAACATTACCTAGCAGGGACTGACGAAGACCAGCTAAGATTTGATTTAAATTCAAATTCAATTAAAAGTGTGCTTGGTAAACCTAATTCACCAGATTAATTGTATTACTTCCACAATAAAGGTGTTTAATAGCTGGAAAAGAAAAGGAGATGAACCCTAATTAATTGAGATTTAATCTCTGACTGTAAAAGTTAAGCTAAGTTAAGCTTTATTTCCAATTCCAGAGGTAACATCTGAAAAATTAAGAAGCTATTGTATCTTTCAGGACAGAAAAAAATCCACCGTCCCGTATTTGTGCTGTGACGGCTGTCAAAAAACATGAAAGCTAAAACAAAATTGAAATGGCAGTCAGTTGTTAGACCATTTCCATAATCCCATTCACATACAATATATTAATTACTACAGACCTGACGAGAATAGCTTTGCATGAGATTACAAGTCTTAGCCAAGTGGAGCTTTTGAAAATCCCACTCACAGTCAGTGCAAACTCCTCTCTCTAAGACGCCCTTGCAATTTAACCCATGGGAAAAGGTTGGGCTAAAATTATGCTGGAGACCATCAAAAATACTTTACTCCATGAAAAGCTGAAGAAAAAAGCAGTACTGGACAAGGGGACAGACCAGACAGCAGTTCTGGGAGAACCTGAAAGCGTTCAACCTTGGTGGGCTTTGTAGCCAGGCACAACTGTCTTTAAAGCATCTGAGCACTACTTCACGGAAGCATGATGCTAATTTACTAATACAATACATCTGAGCTCCCCTCCCCAGAGTGCTGTTATTCCTCAGTCAAATGTGTAGATGTAGAACATTCCTGAAAATGCAGCAACTCCTCCCAGCAACTCCTAAATAACAAAACAGCGTTGATTTGTGGGACGGATCCAGCTGAACTGCCAGCTCTCACAGAACTACCTGCACCCAAGGGTTACAGATCAGGCCCACATGCGCTTGCTCCCCGTGTTTCAAACCCACTCTTGGTGCTCTCCTGCATGCAGAGGTGCTCACACAGAGCACATGCAGGAGCTGCTGCAAACCCTCACGTCTCCTTTGCACTGGGCAGCCCACATTCCTGACAGAGAAGAAGGGCCACGAGCCAGCTGGCCCTCTCCTTGCCATCATGGTCACTTTGCACTGTTCCCTGAGGCCCATGGCTGCTCTGGACACCCACTAGATGGAACCACCAGACACGTCTGCGGGCTCTGGCCACACAGCCCAGCTTCCTCACAGGTCCCCAGTTCGGTTCTGCTATGACTCACAAATGGGGGAGTGCAAATCTCTGAACACTTTGCCCAAAGAAACTGAGAAGAGAACATATGGGCTGAGAATAGAAAACCAATTTGTTGTGCTGCTGATTACTTAAAGTATTGGGAAGCTTCATAATTGGAAGAATTCACCTCAGTTTCATTCACAATATCCATGCACCCAAACTTCTTTAATACACTGTTTGTGAACTGCCACCTCCCAGAGCTTTTGTATCCTCCTAAACAGTGGTTTTGTGAAAGTAAATGAAACCACTTTGAGATTTATATGTGCAGGAGAAGAAACTACTACATCCGTTATAATACCAGATGGCCAAAATCACATACTGAGATTTCCCTCAGGTACTCAGAAAAACCTTGAGGGCAAAACTGTTATTAAAAACTGGTACGAAAATAAAAGCAGTGTGCTAAGCAGTAAACATCAGTTTACAGAACCTGAATGCTTGGATTTTAGGACCTCAAACAAAATCAAGATTATTCTTAAAAGTATTGTTTATTTGTAACATTAGGGGGAGTGTTTTGAAGTGGTCTTGTGCCTTTGACCTATACCACGTGGGTAATGATGAGCAACATTGCACTGCAATGGGAGACTTGGTATCAATGCAAACAAACAGTGGGTTAACCAAACATTTTCTCCTGAACATTATCAGCCTTCCTAATTTTATATTTAAGTGGCCTATAGTACCTGGTCAGCCCAACATATCTTTATTGTACAAGCAAAATCTGTTTGCCTAAAGGGCAGCAAATACTGCTAGGTAAAAAGGTTTGCACTTTTTAATTAAATAGCTTGATATCATTTGGTTGAATCGCCAATTACTTTAGAAGTTGTACAGATAAGGTATAAATAATAGGTGCACAATTATCTGAATTGAGAAATACTGGATCCTAACAATCCATTTCAGAGTATCATTTAATAATCTGATACTGCTTTTTACTGATTTCTGCTTTGATGAACTGCTAATTGACTTCATCTCAGAGGTCACATAAGGTCATAAGAAAATAAACTGAGCGCAGTGCTTCAGCCAGATCAGTTTACACACAAAGTCGATGGCACTCTCCTTTGGAGTAACCGGATCTTCCCGCCACTGAGGTGTACATGAGAATTGCTCACTTAAACTGATTGAAGGGAATGCACGGGGAAAAGCCCACCTAGAAAAGACATTTTGAAAGAACTAGCTGGAGCACTATCGTCTCAGCATTTCCACATGCAAAGAGCGGGGGAAAAATTAAAGAAAATAGAGTGGATATAAACAGTACTGTAGATCGTGTTAATACAGCCCTTGTATGGAAGTTATACCCTTCAGTGACCTTCTAGTATTGTATCAGCTTGCTACATGCATGTCTTCATAGTCCAAACATGTGTGAAAGAGACCATTCGTCTACAGAAGGATGGATTTCTTTTTGTTGTCGCTGGAACCGGGACAGCAGACATGTATATTTGCCACATTGCAAATAAAAAAATTACTTCAACATAAATCACATAAAGTACAAAAGCTTTGATAAGTCCAGGATAAAATTTACCATTAGGCTATATCATAAATGATGAGATCTTCCACACATGCTTTTGGTGCCCAGGCATGAGCCAAAAGCAGTGCAAAAAAAGCTTTCATATGAAAAATTAATATAAATAAGATGTGTTTGTGATGATTACTTAAAAGAAAGATAAAGAAAGATAAGATGGCTCAGAAAAAGGGGCATCCTGCCAAACATATTAGAGATATAAAACATGAGATTGGAAAAAGGGGTAAAAGAAAGATGGACTGTGATAAAATACAAAAGAACAAATACAAACAGATGGACAAAGACACAGGTCCACTGAGGAATCTGGTACGAGGTTTGCTACTAGATTTATAGGTCACTCTCTCAGACGTTTGGTGGAAAACCGTCCAGCCTGTAAATGAATATAAAGGGAAGAAAACAAAGACACTTATAAAGTACAAGTAGCTGTGATCAGATGTCCTATACCATCAGTCAAATCAGCTTTGTTAGTTAAACATCCACATCTCCATTTTAACTTTGCCAAAGAGGATTAAGTTAATTGACCGTACACAAAGGATGCAATAACGGCAAAAGAGAACAGATAGATATTTTGTAGATTAGTTTGGCAGGATGTGCAATGAGAGGAAGGTACTTTAATCATCATTATAACTTCCACTATGCATGGCAACAAGATCAGTCAAAGCCTACAGAGGTATGCACTACACAGAAGTACCAGAAGTCGGGACTGGGGAACAGCCAATCTACTGCTCTACAGTCATTTCGCTGGGCTTCCAAAAGCATGCACAACGTTAACCCCTTAGATAAAGGAGACATAACTTGGTTCTACTTTTTTTCCACACCTCAGAAGGATTAGTACTTTATAATGAGGATCTCCAGGTCTGGCCATATCAAGGCGCTAAAACAACAGCCCAAAATGGACCATGGGAAACAGTCTCCTATCCGTCTTCATTTGTTAATTTTTTTTCTCTTCCCTTTCTATTTTTTCCCTTTAAGAAATCCACAAGGCAGACTCCAGAAAAAGTGTCAGTAGCACTGCCGGCAAAGGTAGAAGGTATTTCCTACCTAAAATCTAGTGTGCCTCCTTGAGTGTTGACTCTGAATACTTTGTGAGATACTGTATTTTTGTTCTCCTGACAATACTGCAGTGATATTTTTAAAGATAAGCCTGTAATTTGGATTGCCAAATCCACTCCTAAAAGTTCAAGCATAAGGGAAGCAAATTGATTTTAGCATGTGCTGGAGGATATGCTGAACAGCTGGTAGGAAAAAATCACCTTGGCCAGAGCTTGCGTTCGCATCACCTCCTTCGGGGCCTAAGCCGGAGCAGATGTCAGAAGACAAAGAGGCTTTGACAGAGCACGGCTGCTGTGTCTGAACAGACTTCCCAAATGTGGCTGACACAGAGGAAGTTACTCCTGTGGTTTCGAGAGATCCAGGCTGAGCTTTAGTTGTCTCTTTGTGAGGTGAGTCTTTAGAGTCTGAAACATTACCTGAAAGAACAAAAACAAAACACAAGCAACAGCAAATGCTAGGAAACTGCTGAAGAAATATCAGTGCCTAAAAACAACTGCCCATCTGTCTCCAAGAACAGCAGTCTACAATTCTGAAGTACCATATGAAGCACAGACTACACAGATCACCACCACCACCAAATAGTTTACATGCACTGTCACTGCTCTTGATCCTCCAAGAAGCTTGTGGGGTAAGTTTGATTTTTATAGTTTCTTTTCTGAGTTTTTCAGAAGGACTGGAGTCAAGAACTCAAAAAGCACTGTTTAGAATTGCAGAAGTACCTGATTAGGACAATGGAGGCACAAGACGACTGAGCAGAATAAGTAGGTTTGCACTCAAACCTGAGGTGAAAGCAAGTCAGTGGAGAAAAATAAAAAGCTGCTGAGAAGACATGAGGATTTTTTTTCTTTATAACTATCTATCTATCTATATATACACATCTCTATACAAAAATTTGTATCTATATATCTATCTATATAGGTATATTGGTAAGGAGACATTTAGCAAGATAGTAGCTTCGTAATCATTTGTGATACAGATTCAACAACAAAAGCAACTAACGGAGGCAATGCTAATTAGCTTATATCCATAACTGCATGAGACTACCTGCCCTTCATCTCTGAGAAATGACCTCAGAAAGCCCCAGAAATGAGGAGTCTAACTAGGTAAGGGCGAGAAGACTCGGGAGTGAATACAGGTTCTCAGAGTAATGAGAACTTCAGTCAGTGCCTCAGAATAGTGAAAAATAATAAAGAAGAAATGCAGGAAGGAAAGCATGCACCAAAGAAGCAACATAACTGAGCAGACTGCCATTCTCTAATTTAAATGGTGTTTAAGAGGAGGACATTATAACTCAGAAATAGGCTGAAATTCTTTGAACTAAGGCTTTTACCTTGGCTGATATGAGCCAAGGTCCATGAGCAGAAACAGAGAGATATGGGTTCTCTCTGTTAGACAGAAAATGGCTACAGACAACCCAAGAACAAACTGGCAAATGGATGGACAAAATCACAGACATTCACAGAATCTCACCACAAGGAAGAGAGATAAAACCTACGCCGGTTAGCCAAGCAGCAGCAAAATGGTTATGAAAGACTGAACACTGCTTCAGATCCTGTATGCAAAAATACTCTGATTTGAGATGGAGCACAGAACATAGAATCATAGAATCATAGAATTACAAGGTTGGAAACAACCTATAAGATCATCTAGTCCAACACTTTGCCTCTGAATCTGCTTTCCCTGTCTTAATTGGAATCCTTAATTAAAAGCAAAACCCTCTAAAACAGTCTTATAAGAATTCCATTGCATCAGCCTTGCTAAGCAGATCTGTAAAAGTGATGTTGCAAACGAGAGCCACCAGATTTGAAATACGGGGTCAATATGGAAGCATGCTACTCTCCCACAGAACCGTATGAACTAAGCTGAAGGAAAATTAGCCTATTCTACATCCTGCTGAAGAAATAGGCACTGGAGTGTATCAATATTTGTTATCTGTAACATCATCTTCCTACTTTCCAAAGAGATCATGACTCAAGATTGTCATATTGTTTGAGAGCATTTGAGAAAATCTCAAAGTATTTCAAAGATGGTCGAAGCATCCATCACAGATTTTATTAACTGTTTTCTTATCTCCCACTCTTGGGGGAGCAAATACAATCCCATCTTATTTATATAGCATATTGTAGGAAAAAATAAACAACAACACGATACAGTACCCAATCAATAGAGGACAGCAGCTCCTAAGAAGTGAATACAAACATCAATAAATTGCATTTGGAGAAAAGATGAGAAAATGTAACCAGGCTGTATTCCAAATTAAAGTGGGATATTGTTTGTCTGCCAAACACTGTCAGCAAATGCAGGGAAGGTACAGTTCAGCATGGGGCACTGTAACAAGATGGTCTCAAAGGAAGCCCACTTCAAAACCATGCAAACTTAAGACACCATTTTAAGAAGAAAAAAAAATCAGTAACTTTTATGCAGTCCATGCAATTACACAGCAAAACCATAACAGCCAAAACCAACAGGGAAGTGGAAAGTAACCTAGTGCACCTACTTGTGCTTGATGTTCCACTCCTGAGCTGTTGAACCAGAGGGTTTAATAGTTTTCCACCTTTCAATTTATTTTTGCTGGTTCTTCGTCGACGGCCGCTTGGTGGGGCTGAGTGAAGGAACCCCATGTTGGGAGGGAGGGGCTTCCCTAACCGAATGTACAGAGCCTCTATCTCGTTCTTCTGCTGAGTCTGAAGTTCGGCGATTTCTTTCATATGCCTAAGCATAAAAACAAAACGTTTGCTAGCGTGTATTTGATAAAGCACCACACGTTGGCAGCAGAACTAGCTGTGAGATGAAACAAAACAACCTTCAATCATAAAAGCTACCCCACAGCGTGCGAAGTCAGAACCACCTACTTAGCAAAGGTGGCGGCTGACTTCTCATACACCGATTTGTAAGATAGAGCCCTAGGTAAAAGATTTCAAATACGCTAAGTAAAAGCAATCAATTTCGGAATTCTGATTTAAAGTTGCCATAAAGTCAGTTTTAAACTTTTTGTATTAGTGTAGCTCTGTATAAAAAAACGTGCAGCACCTATATTCAGCAAAACCATTACATCGTACATTAAAGATTTTGCTTAGATTACCAACTAATGCTAGCAATTACCCATCGCATGTCAGGAAAGAAAGGAACATTAATGTTTTAATAAAGCTGTGAGAACTGGCAGCACAGCAGACTACTGAGGCTTCTCAGACCTCCCTGAGATGGGGCAGATTGCTGAGGTTTAGGCATGGTGTGAGGTGAAGATTTTAATTCAGTATCTGTTAGCAGGTATCTCTCAAAAGAGTGACATCACGGACAGTGGTGGGTCTGTAGGTTTGCCAGTCTGAAGCACTCTTGCAGAGAAGGACATGAAGAGAATGCCTTACAGCTCTCTATGCAGACATCCACACTAGTTATGCGACCTTATGCAGCACCCACACTGGATCCTACAGACAAACACATCACAAGTGCTACCACTTGCTGCTATATCAATGCAGTTTTTAAGCAGGGAAATTGGATATCACAGCAGAAGTTCACTGATTTAAAAAGAATTATTCTACTTCCAAATGGAAATGGAAAATAAAGTGAGGCATAAAATGATGCAGGATGACATTCAAGGGAAGGTCTCAGTGATGCCTGATTTGCTCAGGAGCATTTTACTCACTACAGCTACGCAAAACACATTTGCTTAGCACACACAGATACCTAGGCAGAGATGCCTAGGTATCTCAATGCGTTCTACCCCAATACTGTTCGCAAAACCAACATACTTTTCTCTCAAGTTCTGCAGTTCTTTCTTCATGTCTGCATCTTCAAATTCAGAGTCATTGTCACTGCTCATGTACGATGACTGCGAGTGGAAGGACGTTATGTTGATGGTAGGAATCTTTGTTCCCTGCCCGTTCGGTGAATCGGGGCCTTGGGAGCCCGCTTTTCCAGTCCTTTGCAGAAAAGCTGCTGCTTTTTTAATTAAGTCAGAGGCTGCGCTGCTGCTCGGAGGGGACGGCTGAGCCGCAGCAGCCTGTCGATGGAAGGGTTCCTCAGCAGAATCACTCGAGCCCTGGTCACAAAGGACATCAACAGATGAGGCTGTCTGCACCCGTCGGACAGCTGTCTTCTGGTCGGGGCTGGAAGGGAGCTCATCCAAATAGACGTCCGGGGGCGCAGAGAACCTTAAGCAATGCGGCGCTGCTAAAGTTAATTCATCTTGCGTGCTGCTTACTGAAAACCTGCCAATAGTTTTGGCTGGTGTACCACTATCATGAGTTCCAGCCTGTTTTCCATAGGAACCGGAGTCTAGAGAGTCATCCCTTTGAAGGTTATTTATCACCCCATCTGCTGTCGATAGCTGCATTACATTATCTGTGTGCGTAGATGAAGTTGTAGCCTTTGCCTTCTCGTTCATTTTAGAAGTTTCCATCTGTTTAGCTATGCTCGATGATGTAGGTGCAACCTGGAGAGAATAACAGAGGTTAATTTTGAAAGTAACTGTAACAATCAGATATAAAACTATGCGTGGTTTCTGGTTACCTGGAGGAGGCCCTTTGCTGGAGTCACAGGAGCTGGAGTGATGCTCGCAGCTGATCCTGGTTTACAAGTTGGAGAAAACAACAAATTAATGTCTGGAATGGTTTTGCATAAAGCAAGCCAATGGCAAACTCAAGGGTAACAGTGCAGCACTAAGAATGATGTAAATACCAATTCCTTGTAATGCAGAATCTAGGATTTTTTATTTTATTTTATTTTTTTTTAATGCAGGAGACAGTAATGATAACAGTACAAATTACCTGCAGGTAGACACTGGCTTCAGTCTATTCATTTGGGGAATTCAAATAATAAAAAGAGTGTGAAATTTCTTAAGCCAACTGGAAAATTTTGGAGGGGAAGTAGAGTGAAATTTGCATGGTGCACTAGACCTGTATGACCAAGGTATTCTTCGTGTCTTGAAAAAATAAGTAATTCCTCTCAGATATTCACGCATGTAAAATGCTGCATTTGACCACAAATGGACCATTACTTTACACCTTTCATTTTACAGGTACCCACACCAACAATTCAAAGTGTCTGAAATGAAGTTAAACATCACACTGCTGAAAGCAGAAATTACAAGCTTAGAAAATGCCATTTGGACCACAAAATATGTGAAAAAGCGTAATAATGTAGACAACACTATTTCACCACTTGGGCCTCTGCTTTTGAAGTTAAGGCAGTGTACACAAGCTTTTTAGAAAGCTGCTTTCTTACGGCACACAGTGAACATACAGCCTTCATATTTCTGAAACAGCGAAATACGTTCTTGCTTTATGGTATCCAAGATACATTAATTCTACTACCCAGTGCTACATTTCACTTATACACGCTCTTTTCCACCTTTAGTGAGACAAATTAACACATGAAACTCAGAGCTTTCCTCTTGCACTGACCTAAGTGATGGACTCCAATGAGCCATGAACATATTTGGCAATCTACATGACTCGAGGTCCCTTATTTATTCTAGGAGTACTGCACTTCCCTGCAGCTTGAAGAGGCAGTGCGTGAGCTCCAGCTCTGAACCAGCCAGAGGTGCTGCAGGCTCCAGGTGTGCCAGCAAAGAACTGTCTGCCATCACACAAATGTGGCACTGCTTTGCCATCACAATCTCAAAAAAAAAAAATGACCAGCCCTTCCTCACCCCACACCTGTGACAGGGGCAGGAGTTTCAGGCTCCTCAACACTCAAGGCTTCCCATGACTTGCAAGACAGGTAAAAGGAGCATTACAACCGCTCAGTTTCTTACTGCTGCTCCTACTGCGTTACTTTGGAAACTGCCATTATATCTGCGAGTACTTAATGAAAAGAACTTCTTCCTAGCTCTCCATAGGAGTCTCAAACATCTTACAAGCTTCTCCCCAGAGATGTTACCCTCAACCACATGATTTTCATCAGCTCCTTTTTACGCAGCCCCAAAAATCCAAGGGACTTTCTGTTCAGATGTTTTAATGGCACCAGAAATTTACTGTTGAGATCACAGACTTCCACACAAACACCCTATACCATAGGCATATATTACCTACTTATGGTTTAAAATAAATCTGCCTGCGAGGCAGTTTATTTCTAGGAAGCTTGGCAGGAGCGAGCTATTTAATACTTGTTACATTACAGCAGGGTCAGCACTGCGCCGGGCACTGCTGGGCAGTTAACCAAGAGCTAGCAGCAAGGAGACACAGGAGAGGACCGGGCACAAGTACAGATCCATCACTGCAGTTCAGCACTGAAAGGAGCATTACCTCTTTGGCTTGCTGACCCACCTCTTGCTTCCAAGGACTCAGTCCCAACGCCTGCGGCCTCAGACTTTTCAAGCTTTCAGTAAAAAGAGAAAAGAAAAGCATTTCAGCCTCCAGCACAAAGCCCATGCATTCTCATCCTCTCTTTCTCTCTCTCCCCCCATCCCTCTATACTCACACTATCGTGCAATGTGAAACTATTTTATATTGTTTGTGGAGATGGCCTCTTAGCTTTTCCTTTAACTCCCCCATTTTTTTTCTCCCTTGGAAGACAAAGAGGAGGCAGAATCACAGAGGAGACTGCAACCTAAGTCAACATTGGCACTGAATTATAAATGAATTTTGGTTTTGTTCTGCTTCGCTTTTCCAGCAAAACCACACACTTTGCATCCATCTCTTCAGCAAGTCCCAGATTTCAGAAGGACTAGATTCAATTACTGGAGAGAGACCACCTTTCATAAACAAGGCATTGTAACTGCAGTAGGTGGTCATTAATCACCACATAGTTCAAACCAGTTGTTCAAATGCAGCCATACTTCCATAAAATACTGCTTCTTTCCAACAGTTCACCCAGCTGACACTTTATGAAACTGCCTCATCCTTGACAGTGGGGATGGGATTATCTCCAGAAGTCTTTTCAAAGAAGGTAAACACTGATCTCCTAGCAGAAAGTGCTGCAAACCTTTTTATTTCATGAACTCAGCATTTAGTCTGAGAAACTGCAACACATATCCAGAGTGAATGGTGACCCAAGCCACCAGTAAACTAAGTAAAATTAAAAACACAACAAAACCAAAACAGGAAAGCTCAGCCTTCCTTAGCTATTTCCCAGGAAGTCAAAAGAGGTCGCTCCTGGAAATGGGCAATCATCTACCTATGGAGTCTTCCACCAGCTGCAGCACTTGTGTGCAGTGTCCTGAGGTGTTTATTTTATTCTGACTTAGAAAGCAGGTATTGTAATCCCTGCCAATAATTTATATTAGAAAAATCCTATAAATATTTGATGTTCGGTGCTACTTACTGTACCTCATTTTCTAAGAGAGAGCAATATAGGCTGTGTTTGGAGCCTGTGCTATTTCAGTAAGCAACTACATATTCTAAAATTGGTCATAAATGCATAATATGCAAATTAAACATTTACTATTGCTAACTTTGTGATAACAATACAAAGCAAAACTATTCATAGCCTATAATCAGTCTTCAGAGGAGGTCTGTGAAACTGCTGTGATTCCACCTCATTCATAAATGGGACACTCTCTGCCAGCTCCCTGCTGCTGTGTGCATTTGCTGTGGTATGAGGCAAGGGTGAAGCAGAACATCCCCATGTAACCAGCTACACATGCAAACGAGGCACAGACAATACCACGTCAGAGCCAGCTGACCAGACAAACACTTTCTTCCCTCTTCAGAACTTAACGACTATTCCCATGATGCGTATTACCGTAAACTACAAAATGTCATATTTCTGCCTGCTTTAGAAACAGGATATGATGAGAAATGTGAATTAAGATATTAAATAGCTTAAAAACCCAAAGGAAAAATTTGGCTTTCACTGGTAAATGCTTATGTAAAGTGAGTCAAGTTCTAACTTTACGAGATGCACTCTAAGAGAACATTCACAATGGAAAGCAAGCAGCGACAAAAGGTAATACACAGAGGAGCAGATGTAAAATGTTTAGAGAAGCAAGAAGCCCATACACAGGTTATACTACAGACTGTTTCTGGGCTCTACTTTGGTGGTGTCCATGATTTAGAGATACAAAGGGCAAAGTCACTGCACTAACCAATGCTGGGTAAGGTGCGACCTCAGGTGGCACAGCTGGCACAAACTGGGCCTCAGCAGCTTTCACCTCCTGGCAGCTATCTGTGGTGTTATGGCCTGGTTCTCTCAAATCCAACACCAACTTGGGATCTTCGGTGAATGGTGGCAAGTTAAATTCACTGTCTGCCTGTTCCAGTGGCACAAAAGCATCTGGAGTTCCTGCTGATGCAGAAGAAGTCGGGACATATTCCTGGTAAAGTAAGTTGCGCAATTTCTCATCGAGGCTTTTTATTGTATTGTCAACGAAATCCACCCGGGGTGGCCCCTCTCCATCAGACTCCACAGTGCACGGCTGCTGCTGCTGCTGCAGCAGGCTGATCCCCACGCTGGCGCAGGTGACAGGCTGTGCCTGGGACAGCATCACGTGCTGTTGGGATGTGGCCATGGACACCTGAGTGGGGCTCTGAAGTTGAGATCCTGCCAGATTGAGAGACTCGGATGCAACAGATGCAGGAAACACTTGATTCACAAAGGAGTGCTGCACCACGCCGGGCTGGCCGGCCTCTGGCAGGTGAGGGATCTGGGCTGCAGGCTGCCGCTCCAAAACAACAGCATCTGAGAGCACAGGGAGCGGGCAGAGCTCTGCTGCCTTGGCAGGAGCTGGCGGGACTGCTTTGGGCGGCCCGACACTGCAACACGCTATCTCCACGTCAGGGATACACATGGCCTCATCTGCCTGCTGCTGCGCCTGCTGAGTAGGCTGGGCAGCCAGGGAAGCATCAGCAGGCTCCTCCAGAGGGGCGGCACCTGGGGCTGGAGTGCCAGGTGGGGCAGGTAATGCTGCTTGCAGTAGAGAACATTCCGGCTGGCCTCCGTTAGCAGCTGCCTGCTCCAGGATGTTTGGAGCAGGTCCTGGCGGCGCTGGAGCTGAGAGCTCTGCCTGGCTCGGCAAGCCAGCTGAAGATGCTGCAGCAGGAATTTGTGCCAAAGATGGAGAGGCCCCAATGGGGCTGTCACAGATGCTTGCTTGTAGAGGAAGCTGCTGACAAGCTAAGACACCAGGCGCATCCGGCACCGCAGAGTTTGCTTGCTGATCATCCGACTGCTCCAGGTCTAGGAAGGACACAAACAGCATTTGAACTCCTGATGGGCTGTACGAAGTGAAACAAAGTCACTGCAGAGCCTCTTGACTAGCTGCAATGACAACTACACCTAGCCTGAACTGTTCCCTACAGAAAAAATTAAGGCTGCAGTGACCCATCTGGATGCTTTCCTGTACAACTTACTCTAGGGAACCCGCTTTAGCAGGGGTTGGACTCATCTCCAGAGGTTCTTTTCAACCCCTGTGATCCTGTGATTAGAATTTCAGCCATGCTATAGTGAAAGGCAGACACTTAAAACTCTGGAACTTCCCCCAAACTCAGATAAACATTTCTAATTTGGTTCAGTACAATAAAGACACTTACGCTGTGTATGGCTCAAAGAAGGCTCTTCATCGAAAAAGACGCAAACTAATTTTGTGTGATAAGTGTTTCATTATCAACAGGAACGTTACTCAGCTCAACACTTGACCAAGGACAGGATAACATGGATTGTTCAAACTACGTGATGTCTCTGGCACAACTGTCTTCAATTGTTACAATGACAATGAGGCCTAGGCTTCATCAAGTGCACCTTTTATAGGGTAAGGAAGAAGAGCTCTTCTACATCTCAGGAAGTTTTCTTTATCATCCTGGAACTAGAAGCTGATGAATACACCTCTAAGCCAAGGCATCAGGGTCCATTCCTCCCCTCACCCCTTGCCCTTCTGAAGCCACCAGAGTTTTCTGAAGGACTGGGGTACTGAGGATCAAAGCCAAGAGACTTCCTTTCCTTCTGAGACAATGTTCTCTAAAAAATCTAAACTTTGTAAATACCTGGACCTTCAGACTGTTGTGCACCCTGAGGAACTGGTGGAGAAAATTCTGGTGCATCCGTAGTCGGGTTTTCCACCACAGGGCATATAATAAACCACCTTTTTCCAGTATGCAAAACTAGATATGAAAATAAAAAGTAAACAATAGTTTTGGTTTATTCCAGATCACCCATCATAAGCTAGTTTTAATTTTTATATTTATATTTAGAAAATCCAAATTCCTGTGGTAACAGCCAAGATTATAAACAATGGCTCCCATCTGATTCTCATCCCTGAGAAGCCAGTTTCTGTAAGGGAGACTGACACCACCTGATTCTGCCACACATTTATAGTAAGTTTATTCTCAAGTATTAATTATCCTTAGAAAGGTAATAATTGCATACAAGACAAATTTATGAACGGTTCTGCAAACAGTTAGCTTACTATGGAAAAAAAATGCCAGTCTGGTAAAGTTTACCCATTTTAACTTTTCTAAGTAGGAAGTGTTATAGCTAACATTTCTTTCAAGTCTCATCTCAAGGTCTGGCATATATAAATAGCAAACGAGAATTATACACACTTGGTAACATCCAGCATAAGTAAAAATGTTAAAAAAAAAAAAAAAAAAGTGCTAAAAAATGATATTACTTTTCTAGGCAAAAATAAACCAGGTATTTTTAGCAGAAGATCTAGTCGGTAAAGATCATCCAATTTCTGCATTCATTAAAGAAGTCCTGTGTTATCCTTCCTGCCCGTAATTAAGAATTTTTGAAACAATGCTTCCTCCATCGGAGATTTAGCTTTTTTCCCACGAACACACACTTACACAGAGATAAAAGGACCATCCCCTTCCCTTCCACTTGGCTATAAAACCCATAAGATGCAATGGCATGCAGACGCCCCAAACTCCCCTCAATAATAATGAGGTAGTTGAAAACGTATGGGTTAGAAATTTCAATTAAATTACCAATGCAAACATATCTTTTAACTTTCTCTTGCAGATGTAGTTATGAAAAGAGTATGCTTCTTGATTTTTACACCACTGATTATCTACTGTTGTAATTTAGGGCTTCCCTAGATGTCCCAGGTGTCAGTCAGCTTAGCCCTATGATCGTGAAGGTTGCTAACAGCAGAGATCACTGTTACACCCTTATTTCTAGATACAACCACCAGTAAAACTGGTGATATCTTCCTCAATCTAGAAAACTTCTGCATAAGTTAATCAGTAACTTCAAGCTAGAGATTAAGCTTTTATTCAAAAGCACATTTACCATTTTGTTGATACACAGGAGTCTTCACTTGAGATGGCCGCTTCTCCTATTCAAAGAAACAAACAACAAAAAAACACTGTCTTAGTATCGATGCAAAAGCAGCATTATTCCAAGGAACCTTTATATTTAAGTTTTAACTGAGTTAAAGAATTGTTTTTCCAGCTAAGAAACCTTTTTTGGTTTTTTTTTTTTCCTTTTGTTCAGTGCGGGTTGTGAAACTTCTTTACAGTAATTGGACATTAACAAAAAGGTATCAACCAAGAACACTTCTCACCTCATTCATTTCTGTTCCATCAGTATCCTGCTGGGGACTTGTTCCCTGATCAGAACTCCGTTCTCCTTCCGTATCTTCACTGAGCATATCTTCTGCTTTATCGATAATATCTTTCATTTGTTCAATAAATGTCTCTTTCTCACTCTGCAATATGAATTCATTCTCTACCTACAAAGTCACATCAAAACAGAGAAAAGAACTATAACTTTTTGGCTAATGCCCCATTCGGCTTGTAGCAAGCCCATATGAGAATAAACTGGTTAAGACAACATGTTACATCAAGAGCCTGTGGGCAGCTGCATCACCAAGTCTTACCATGTAAGTAGCAATTTCCTCAGGTGCATCACCATCCAAATCAAACTTAAAAGTCACCATTTTGTGATTGTGTGTTTCAAGCTGACACTCCACCATCTTATCTCCTGTGTTACAAACCTGCAAACAAAGATTAAAAAACAATTATTTCTGGCACAACTGAACTAATCCTGACTTTATCCCTAAAGAAAGAATACTTGCATTTAATATAGTCAGTTTGGGTCTGTTGGTTTTCTCCTGGCGTGAACGAGCACGTGTAGATTTCTTATGTTTCTTTGAAGACTTTCCTTCTTGTTTTCCACTTCCTATTGCTCCTTCGAAGCTGTCACTCATCTCTTTACCTGAAGCAACATCTGGACTCATGTAGCTTTGCAAGACAAAGGAAGAAATCCCCCAGAATGAAACCGTCATCACACAACAGAGTTACATATAGATAAGACAGAGGAAAATCAGACTACAAAAAAGTGTATATTCTGGCCCAGATTGAGCCAGCTCCTGAGAGATGCTCAGTAAGTGAAAGGAGCTCCTCTAAGTCAGGCATGTACTCTGGCTATCACACCTAGCAAGAAATGACCTCTCGAAGTTTCTGTCAGTACCATAAGGAAGTGCCGTCATTATTTCAGTAATTAATGCATTACTCGGCTTGAGTTCAAACTTGTGCACTGCAAAACCTCAGAATGAGCTCTGGCATGTTTTAATTCTTGTCATAATGATATATCTGAGTGGCTCAAAGTACAACTCTCACCAATACATCATCTCCTGTATCACTCTTGCGGATGGATCATTACAGAAGGTGATATAGGTGCACCCATTCCAAAGGGGAAATAAGCTACATACCCAATTACTCAAGCATAAAATGCCTTTGTACAGTTTTAATGGCATCAAAATCAGGGATCATACCACTTGAGTTATTTTAACAGAAATAAATTACTTGCTGAACTGAAATTTGTTGTACATATATCAAGGTTAGGATGCAATACCCAATCCAAAGACCAGGCATTTCAGTTAGCCTTATAAAGACAGAAAATTCACCCTCTAAAAAGAAAACATTTTTTTGCTGAAATGATTATAATGATACCTTTCACAGCTCTGTGACAGAGTTTGAAGTTTGTCCTGTATTGCCTGCTCCTAAAACATAAGAAAAAGTCATTTAAGTAAACATGTTGTACTGCCAGACAAAAACACCCTTAAGAAAGGTTTGTTGTTGAGATATTATTAATATCCTAAATCATTCTCTTTAACCTATTCATCAATTTTGAAAGTGCCCCATTTCACCCTCCTATCATCATTTGTGCCCAGAATCTCGTAGGACACCGGTGCGCCAGCTCCCTTCCCTGCTGCTGCTGCTAGAGCAGAAGAGGCAGTGAAAGAAACGAAGCGCTCCTCACCACAATGGAAAAGTTTTACTGCAGGACAAATTCACATCAATGCCTGATTCCTTTTTGAATGAACGTAAACTGTACACCAATGTGTTTTATTGCTTTGTATAGTCCACTGAGATAATATTAGGTATTTTAAGCATGCTTGGCTTATTGTGAGAATTTCTGACGAACTTCCAAATAAAAGACAGAAATCCTTTTCTTAAAAATACACTCTTCATATAATGCCCTCTTGGTCTCGACACAACAGAATTTTACCCTAAAAACTTCCCTGTTCCCTGGTCCAATGCTAGCCCAAGCATCAGTGGTGTTTCACCATGCACAGACCTGATAGGATGATGCCCTGCTACTACAGCCTCATTACATGTATGGGTAACAGATACACACACACCTGTTTGTATATAGCAGTACATGTACATACACACACATCAGCTTAATAAATATATATAATCATATATATTTATAAACATGTATAACACTCTTCCATAGACACGGTTACAAACAAACCCCTGGACTGACACCACTGTATACTCATACCAGAAGAGTTTTTAACTGTAGTTAAAAGCTTTGAGGTTTAACCACCCCACACTCCTCATTGCTCATAACGCCACTCACTGCCATGCCAAAATTGACTGCAGTTTCTATAAAACTGCAAAATTAATGAACAGTGAGAACACAGACATAATGTATCTAGATTTTAGTAATGCACTTCATCAAGTGCCTCACAAAATCTCATTTGCCTGATCAATCCAAATTGGTTTGGATGTGAGTACTGTGACACAATTTAACAAAAGACAGATAAAAGCTAATGGCAGAGCAGTAACAAAACATGACATTTGGAGTATCTACAGGCATGAAACTCCTCTTACATCCCAGAAAACCTTAGCAAAATATGTCATAAAATCAGCATGGGGAGTACTTGGACCAATGTGACCTTTGCACAGAGTCACAGTGTGATGCTCATGTGCTTTGCTCAAGAGCCAGCTGTGATGATCAGCACTTACAGCTCACTACAGCTGCAGGATACCAGCATCTCACATATCAAAGAGCTCCAGAGGCCAGCACCTGCACTCTGGGCTTGGCTCTGACTGGAGATTTCACAGGTGTGAGTAGAGGGAGGGAAGCTTTGAAAGAAATAAATCTGGATATCACATTGTCACTCAAGAATTTTTTTTTTTTTTTAAATCACACCTACTCAGTGCCTTTTCTGCATTCCAGGAAAAGAGGACAAAAGTGTGACACTGGATTGATTTCTCAAACTGCGTAAGAGAAGGCACATAACTTACAAGTGAAACATGAGAGTGAAGTTAACAAAGCAGCCATTACTTGTTCCCAAGGATGCGATAAATTGCCAGGACAGACTCGTGCCCTGGAAGGCACCCATTTCTCACTTAACATGGGACAACTTGCACCCCCCCTACATCATACTGAACCATAGCAATGAAATCGGTTCATATTTCCAGAAGTTCAAACAGGAGGGGCCCTGCAGGCAAGGCTGTAGCTTTAGCATCAGCATGGATTCTGACAAGAGCTGCACACACAGAAAATAGGCAGGTTGAAGGAGAAACAGCTGGAGTAAGGGATGGCAGTAGGGACGGAAGTAGGGGATTGAAGGAGTAAGGTCTAGTGTGGTCAGGCTTTACTTATGGACTCTGCACACGAAGCATGAAAGGCGAGTCCTGCTAGTTCTTCTACCTATATCTAACCTACAGTACATGCAGAAAGTCACCAGGAAACATCCTATAGCACAGCATGATTAATTTCTGACAAGAGCTAGGCTGTCACTGCATAGAAGGGCAGGCAGAATGAGGTATCAGAATCCCGTTTCAGATTTAGTCTCATTCTCATGCTACAGCTTCTGGAAGAGGATTTAACTGGACGTCTAACGGAATTCTTAGGCTGCACTGCATAGGAAAGGATCACAACAAAATGCACTGGCTAAAAAAAAACACAGTTTGAACAGATGTAAATGCTTACTTTGGGAGGAAAAGCCTCAGAACAGAACCTCAAGAGAAAGCAGAAACAGGAGAGCAGAATTGTTGAGGGACATTTCCATTCAGAAATGGAAAACTTATTCACCAAAATCTAAAATGCCAAAACCTTTGTTTTGCTTTGCTTATGGGTATCTATCAAAGAACTGAAGAGAAGGAAACATTCTGTGACATTCTGTCAAGACTGAAGCTTAAACAATCACGGGAGTGGTAAGAAAAGCCAAAAGAGCAGACAGGGCAAGCTGACAGTTTCAAAAGGAAACAAATAAAATCTATCTTGCTTATATGACCATTGAGAATTGGTAATGTTTGTGAGTATTTGGAAAAAAAACAATCCCAGGGCCAGGCTAGAACTCAGGCAATACAGGAATGTACAATACCAGACAAAATACAAACAAGACCCAAACTGCAGGGCACGAAGGGTGAAGAACTGGATTATGAAATAATTTCTTAAGGCAAATGATGATTAGTTGCACAATTGCTTGACACATTAAAAACAAGACTGGACAAAACATGGATGAAACTCTGTAGAACAGCTTCTTACTGACCCACAGCACTCAAAGACAGTCTTTTAAATTCTGTTTGTGCTCAGCTACTGACAAAGAGGTGCTTTGTAGCTGACTTGTCCTGCAGCCTGATCACTTCAAGGAGATGTTTCACAAGCAGTCAGGGTGCAGCACGCCGCTGGAAATGGCCAATTATTTGCTGAGTTAGCATCTAGAGCTGGCTCTCTATCGTGAGAGTGGAGAATCTTCCTAATGAACTAAGCCCACAGGCATACAGGAGGTTAAGGGCAGGCTGGTGAGTGACTGAGGAGGAGACGGCTCTACCTCTTGCGATGTCTCTGCCACCGCCTGCACGGCTGAGCCAGGGAGCTGCTGAGCCAGGGGCTGGGAAAGGTCTGGCTGAAGCTGCAGAACACCCGAAGGCTGTAGAGGCAGACAGTGATCTATGGGCACTGGTGGACTAGCTGTAGCAAGGCTGCCATGAATCTGTGAAATGCTTTCTGGAGCGACGCGGGGAGGCAACAGTTCAGGTTGCAACTGCAAAGGCGGTGACATGACTAGCGAAGGCTGCACTGGGAGTACCGGCACCTGGGCTCCAGTTTCCAAACCATACTGAGTATGTCCAGTAACCTGCTGCAACACAACAGACACCTAATTAAAACACAGCTCTACTTAGCGTGCTCCTGACTTACATATCAAAGCGCTGATGTCACTCTGGTTTATGGAAAAAGGATTTTAAATCTACAGTGAGAATGCATACGTGTGGTCTCTAATTGAAAGGGCAACTGCAGTTGAAGTTGGCTTTAAAATGATCAAATCAAATCAAAGGATTCTTTCTAAATAATCGTGACAGTGTGTTTATTTAACAAGTGCTACTTAGTTTATAGAAACAAAACCATCTTTCACTAAGAAAGCGAAATCTTAAGTCCAGTTTGCTGTTTCCAATATCACAACATACAGAGAAATATATACTTTATCAGTAATTTAAATCAGCACTTTTCAAATCTGCTATACATAAACCACCTGCAGACAAAGGCTATGCAATTAACTCTTTTTATACTGAACATATGCAGTGTCTTGCAGAACACACTGTCTTCCACTTGAACATTTCAAACCAAATTTCAGTCTTGGCACACTAAACATTGAGGTCCTGATCCTGCAAACACTTCCTTGTGTAACTTTGCACAGAGGAAGTTTCATTTGTCTCAGTGGATTTCTTCAATGCATTAAAATAACTTGTGTGCGTGAACACTTTGTGGGAACTGGACCTATGTGATTAGATGCCTTAGAGACTGTGTTGTTATTCTGCATAACAGTTCTGTGAGTTGTATATTTCAGAACAGAACATTCTCCTTTTAGGAACTTTGTGTATTTTTCCAAGGGGACCAAGCTCATAGGAAGAGGAAAAAGGAAAGAAGAATTAGGGAAGAAAGAAAATTTTTCAGAACTAGGTAAAACTGCATGACTTGTTTGAGGAGTATCTACCATCACCTGGAGATTCAGAGCATTGGATAAGAAAAATAAATAAGTAAATCAGGACTCAAATGAGAATTAGGGCTCACAGTTTCATCGCCGTGTGCTCTGTGCAGAATGTAGGTAGGAGCTCATATTATTATCCCAGGTTTTAAGTGGATAAAAATAAAGATGCAGTGGGCCTTGCAACACACAACTGTTACAAGACTGCCTAAGTGGAGGTTTTTAGAACAGTAACTGCAGTGTATGGAGCAGAAGAACAGTGACAACTTTTTTTTTCATCTTTATGTAACTCAAATAATTCACAAAATGTCTCAAAGTATAAATTACCAGAGTATAACTGAACACAGAGGCGCTTGAAATCAACTGCAAATATAGCTCTGTGTAGGAATGCCTCTGTTTACAGAAATGCTTCCTATGCAAAGCGTTTTAAAAGACAGAACAGTGTATTTTTGAATACCCCTATGTTCTTGTCTGGTTTTTTTATACTATTTTTTAAATCCTGAAAAGTATAATTTTTGTGTTTTGTGTGTGTTGTGAAGTTTTGTGTGTACGTATTTGGTCTGCTTCTGGTGTTTGCCATGCCCAACTCAGTTCTTTCTAAAGGCATTGGAAAAGCTGTGGCTAATGAGCTCAATGGGAACTGCCTCTGGCTCCACATTGCCTACACTCCCACAAACAATATTTCTGTACCAAATATATGGCTGAAGACAAATTTTAAAATGATGCATTGCTTTGAAGATGCCATGACACGGCAGGTTGAAATGGGACGTTATGAATTTTAATCAGCGTGTTACAACAAAGTGATGTAGCAGAGCAGAAGTTTTCAAGAACACTATTATTAACAGATTTACTGCTCTCTCCTGCTTGGGTCAGGCTGCATTTCATGTTGTCATATCACAGATGTGGCAATGGAAATGTTTACAGACTCTTAACAAGCCCTGAATCAGCTCATCTGTAAGCAGCGCTAACATCTGAAGCTTCATGTTATGCTTCATTTCCTTTAAGGGGGAGAAAGGGTCTGCGGCTTGCGTTTGTTCCCATCTGATAAACCTCTTCCATAGAGTTTTCTGGAGTTGTTATCAAATGGTCATTTTTCTTGGCTTTACAAAGCAAACTTCTAAAGCAGTTCTATGTCAAAACAGCTCTCAGTTCAGTTGTTCCTGCCAGCTCATCGGTATTTTGCCATCTGTATACAATGTCCCTGCACCGCGAGCGTACCGGCACAAAGACATTAGCATCACCAGTGCCGTGCAGCTTCTGCCAGGGCTTAGTCACTCCTCCTGCCCCAGGAGAACCACAGCTCACACTTCCCTGCCACTCTGTTGTAACTGAGATGGGAGAGGGAAGACGGAATTCAGAAGTGGGTACTTTGCCCGCTTTTCAGTCCTTACACCCACAACATCCATCTGCCCCCACGTAAAGACCTCAGTGCTTCACATGAGTTCAGCTCTAGCAATCACCTCCAGAACCAAGGACAAAGAGTTAACAAAACATCTTAATGCAGGAAACCAATCTCCCAATTGCATTTAGAGTGGAACGAGCCCCCGGAACGTTCAACAACCACCCTACAGCCTAGCACCGACACAGCCCAGCGCTGGGCAGATTACCTGGTTACCGGCCCCAGGGGCAGACAGTGGCTGTTCTGATGGATGAATTACGCCTGGCTGAAGTGACTGAGGAGGTGGAGGCTGCTGCGGCTGGGAAACGGCTTGCGTGCTCTGGGTGTGATGGGGAGAGGGTGCTTCGCTCTGGATTATCTGCTGGAAGGTGGTCGGGTACATCTGCTGCTGGGGCAGCTGGGACACCGCGTGGTGCGGCGGCAGCGCTGGCACTCCCGGCGGAGCCACGGCAAGCAATGGTATTGTAGCAGCCGACATATTTGGCACTATTGTTTGGCAGGGCAAGACCAGAGAAGCCACAGTTGTATGAGGAAGGTTCACTGCTTGCATGGGGAGGGCGGGGGAGTTTGGTGCCATGGGCAAAGTGGGGTTCATGGGGAGGCTCGGTAAAATCACAGCTGGAGCGAAATACTGAGAAGGAGCAGGTATGGGGGGCACGTTTGCAGCAGGTATATCAGAGAGGTTTGGAGGAAGGTTGTCAAGTCCTGCCAGAGGAGTAATTGCAGGAATGACAGGAAACTGAGGCATCTGAAAAAAATATAATATCATATAAATCGCAAGAGCTTTCATTGGTGGTACAAAGCAGTTTCATTTGCCATACAGTGTGCAAAGATCACCTGTGCCATGATAATTATGTCTGTTAATCACTTCCATTTATTTCCTGAGGTTTACAGACAGTAATAAAACCTTAATTATTAAACCATTAGGGGAAAAAAAATTAAAATTTCATTTTAAGGGGATATTTTCGGGAGTTTAAAACTATTTCTCATGATAATTTGATAGCCTTCAAGCAACATCCTAGTTAACAAAGTATTGCTTCCATTTTAACAGAAGGGAAATGGAATCAGACCAGACAAAACACTGCACTCTTTCATGCAAAATACAACACGATGATTAAAAATCTTTGTTTTCATGTCTGTCTGCATCACAGGCAGCAGGGGAAATGCTGTAAAATGGTTTTTAACACCAAAACCTCCCAGTGACACTGCAGACCATGATAACTACCCCATTATCATGGAAGCAGCTTGGTTCTTCCCCTTAGGATAAGCTGTTTCACATCACAATGGCTGCCACTAGCAAGCACACCAGCAAACCATTCCAGGCATAAGAAGGGTCCATCCCTACCAATGAACCTGGGAACAGAGCTGGGAGGGAGGTAGAAATTGTGGGGAAGCCAGGAGCTCGAAAACAAAAAAACGGACAACTTCTCATGCTCTAAAGCCTGGGAGGGGGAAGAGTACACCATGGGGGAAAGTGCAAAAAATATGCAATTATAGCAAATTTGTAACTAACTGGATTATCTCAGCATGGCACAGGATTATTCATAAAGGATATTTTTGGTTTTCAAAACAAAAACATATGACAAAGAAAAATAAAAGTATTAGGGAATGTTGAATACCTATGGACTGAATTGCATGCATGCAAAATAGCCACACACACGCACACACAAGAAAAAAACCCAACAACTGCAAATCATGTTAATTATTAGCTAGAAAGCTTTACTCAAACAATGTATTCACACAGTTTTCAGGAGATATTACCTGGGAAGGGGCAACTGGAGGAAGCTGTGGCACAGTTGAAATCTGAAGGGGTTTCAGTGGTGTACTACTGGCTGCCACCTGAGAGGTCTGGGGCTGGTACTGGGGCAGGAGATGGGGGGCAGGCTGGATGGGGCAAACCGGCTGGCTGGCAAGCACCTGCTGCAGAGAAGTTTGCTGTGATATGGGTTGCTGCCAGGAAAGAAAGAAAGAAAGGAAGAACAAAGAAGGTCATAACATGTATATTATGAAGGAATCAGATCACTGGACACAGCCATGCTGCACAGTCAGATCAGAACCAGCACACAGTAAAAACACTTTACAGAAGGGAAGGTTACTCCTAATTTAAACACTGTACAAGAGCCTGTGTTTAAAACACATTTGAACTTCAGACACATTACCTGAAAAGACAAGCTCTAGCTATTTCGGAAAGGTTATTTTTAATGACTCAATCTTTAAATCCCAGAGATTGTTCTGGTTGGCCTTGTAAAATCCCCACCTACTGGCTTCAAAGAGTCCCACTATGCAGATTACGCCCCGTTAATCTTGGCATTTAAGAGCTGACTATGTAATGCATCAGGCGCTGAAACAGACAACACATTATCTGAGATGTGAACAAAACAGTAATTATCATAAAAGCTCCAGCTAGATCCCAGTTATGTGTAAGGTGCTGCAGTAACAACGTGGCAGCCAAAAAAGTAATTTTACCATTACCTGGGGAATGGCGTTCCACTGGCCTGCCAGATTTCATATAGCATAGCAGGAAAAAAAAGCTGCATAAAAGCTGAAAATAATTAGCAAAAAAGTTTCACATTTTCTGTGATTCTGACATCTCCTTCTTCACTTCTGTTAACACTGAAAATACTAATATATATATGTATATATATTTTAAATCTTGCTTCAGAAACATGGTGCTGAGGCACCAAGCTGGCTCTGGATATACTTGGACATACATCAATCAGCCTGAGCTCTGCAGCACATAAAATCTAATACCATGCCTGGTGTTCAAAGGTAAGTTCAAAATGAACAGCCAAGCAGCATTATCTTTCATTTTTGCCACTTGTGCTTTAAGTCAGTAGAGCAATATTTTGCTCTGCGCTTTTTCAGCAGCAGGATTTGTCAACCAGAGTTTCTAGATACATTAGTACAATAGAACTGTACATGATGTATCAAGGGAGCCAGATGCCACTTGCCCTTAAGCAGCAAAAACTCAGCCACAACTGCTAAGTTTCCAATACTGGGATCAGTGAACAAACAAGCATTTGGCTACTGGCACGCCGTGTCTGGGGCTGAATGCCCTGAATGCCACAAGCAGCACTGGAGGTGGCACTGAACAGGCACTGACCAGCTCTGCACAGCACCAGCTCATCTCCTGCATTATTTCTCAGTCCCAGCAGAGCATTCCTCTCGCACCTCCACGCAGCGTATGCTTGGGCTGATAAATCTCACCAGCACAAAGCCAGCTCAGGTATCTGGGCATCTGCAGCTGGGTTAATCTGCAGCTCAGACAGGCTGCCAGCAGCTAACTGGGAATTGAGTCCACTGATGGCGGCTGCTCGACCTGCCTGCACTCAAGGGGATGCTGAGCAGAAGGCAGAAAAACCATGCTCACAGAACTGAGGTAACTTCCTAAGGCCTCCACCTTCAGTCTACAAAATGTGTGCGGTCTGGATGAAATGCAGCAAGTGGAAAGAATCCAAATGAACTGCACTAATTCTGGCTTAATCTAACCTCAACGTTATAAGTAGACAGATACCCAAAATGAAAAAAATAAAATACTGAGGAGATGCAATATTGATCGCCTCCATCTGAGTCATCAGCTTATATTCATAAATGATCAATACATTTCACTGTTTTATAGAGATGAATTTATCACCCTGACTTCATGTACTCGGGCTGAGAAACCCTACCGTCCTACAAAAACCTGCAGTTCTCTGCTGCTGAGAGTAGAAGGAAGATTCTTCATTCAAAGTAGGTCTTCCTAAACAGAACCAAGAGCGATACTAACATTTAAGAGTTCCTAAAATTGGTAAACACCAATTACCAAAAGCTAAACAGTCACTGAGCTACTTCTCCCACAGTACTGTGAGATGGACTCAGGGGTGTTCTTACACTGCAAACTGGATGTGTTTTCTTCACATGTCTCTGCTTCTTTGGACTATCCTGAACAATTTAAGAATAAAAAACTGCGTAAGCCTAGCCTTGATCTGGGACTGCATCCAGATTTATCCTGAGGGTGATTCCATTTAATGGAACTAATGGCCTCAGGCATGAACTTTGTCCCAGAGCTTACATCACGGCCCATCTTCTATCAGTGTCCAAAGGAAGTATACATGGGCACAAACAGAAAAAGGGAACTATGCAGCCCGACTCACTAGAAAACAGATACAATGACTGCTCTGTCTTTGTTTACTAACAGAGATGGAATTATTTCAAGAAACAGCAATGCTGGGAAGGAAGAGTATATAGAAGAAATTAAGTTAGGTAAATACCCTATCCAAAACTGCATTTGCCAGGGGAACAACGTGTTTCGATCTGTCAGCATAAAGCTCCAGAGGCCACTAGGAAGATCACTGTGATCAGTAACGTCCTCAGTGTGCTTGAGAAAGTGTACAATTTTTGGCACAAAGAACCATATCATCATCACTGTCCATTAGAAAAGAAAAATCTAATGCATCATAAAATTTCACATAAGCAGGCATTTTTCAAGGACACCAAATTACACTGTTTTTATACTGATTCTTTCAGAAGAATAGGGCATGTTAAAAAAAAATTAACACCAAAACATTTTGGTAACTAGGAAGGTATGAAGAGACACAGTATGTGCCAGACACAAAACACGCAGGCATTCCCCAGCCTCATCAACAGTTTCTACCCAAGGAAGCCAATGTTTTGCTATGATCACAAAAATGAGCCACAGATCAACTGTTATACAGGTCTGCGGCTACACTTCTTACTGCCTGACATCACCTTCGTACAAGGAAGCAACTGCAACCTTCACAGCTGTCCCTGCTTGAAAGCCGTGCTGTGTAAACACTGTTAAGGAACAGGACTTTTTGGGGAATTTGATGATCCAATGTGCATTATTTGGAGACAATTCAGAGAGATTCTTTTCTTAGAAGATTAAGAGATTTGACAGATGCTTCTACTGAATTACAATTAAAAGGCCCAAATCAAAAAGCAGCACCCCCAAGTACCTGAAGACAACTGATCCCAACATCAAAGTTGCTTTCTCACCTTTTAGAGATATTTTGAGCACAAGTTGCCAAACAACGAAGTGAAATTAATAAAAGCCTATTGTAAAAAACAAAACAACAATGAAGTACTATACTGAAAGCAATGTAAGTGCTCAAGAACTGAATCTTATCACAGGCGCTGTCTCGAGTAGAGCACGGACAAGGTGTGAGGTGAAGCCCCTGGGCAGCAGCCCCTCACCTGCTGGCTGGCCAGCACCGGCTGCGACTGCCCCAGCTGCATGGAGGCCACGGTGGTCGGCTGCACCACTGGGAACGTCATCGCTGGCTCCTGGTAGTGCTGGGGCCTCTGGGGCACCACTGCAGGTGGAGCCTGAACCACGGGCAGGGCAGGCTGCAGAAGGACAAGGCAATGTTAGGGAAAAGAGAAGGCTTCCTGCTGAAGGAGTCCCTGCAACTGCCAAGAGTGTGCATTCCAACTAATGGTCAACTTAATACTTAGGTCAAAACAGAGGAAGACGACATAATGACAACTTATCTGCAAGGAATGGAAAGATCATTAATCTAAAAAGGTGGAAAAAAGCTGTCATTCCAAAGGCCAATAAGACAACCACACTGCACTGCATTTCATCTGGAAGCAAGCATGCAAGCCAGTAAAACCACTGAAAGCATATACACAGTGACAGAGGATATATCAACAAGCAGCCACTAATGGAGTAAAGCAGTAACTTCACAAAGATTTTCATTATTTCATAAAGAATCTTCATCTTTGAAAGAAACAGGTAATTTCCTTGAGATGGATGCCAAGAAAATAAATAGAGAAATGAAAAAAAATTAAAACCGTGAAGGAAATTAAGACAAAAAAACAGCTTAGGTAAGGATTGTACCAGTAACAGTTCTGATACTTCAGCTCAGAGTAGGTAAAGATGTTAAAGCTAAGCAGTTTGTCAGACTGATGTTTATAAGCCTGAAACAAAAAAGCTACTTCAGCTCCAGTTCTGAGCTGGTGTTATCTTGATAAATAATCTCCCAGGAAAAACACAATGATAACTCATCTTTCTTACAAAAACCATCAAATTAAGGAAAGCTCCAAGTCAGATTTTTGCCCATGAATAAAAGTTATTGTTCTTCCAAAATCTTCCAATAAAGAGAAAGTAATGCATTTATGTCCAAATTAGAGACCTACCAATGAAAAGAATGAATCTGCTCTAAAACAGTATGCTGCACGGCATAATATAATAATAAAAACAATCTTTAAAAGATGTGCCTTTCGAGTGCTATATTTAGAGCTAAGTTAATGTTTCATGCGAACAAGAAACGAGGAAGGATGCGTCTCAGCAGAAGTATGCACATGGGAAAGGTGGTTTCCACAGTGGAGGGATCTGGCTACGGGTTTTTCCTTCAGGTAAATGGAGTCATGTTTCAGTGCATTCACAAAATACTGTTCACAATTTCTTGCAGGCATTTGGGAAAACATAAGGTAAAACCAGGGAAAATGAAGCACTCCCAAAGTATGTTGGGTAAATCTGGATCAAGCAGGAAACAACCACTGGTCCTGGATTTGACTTTTCTTCTCTTAAGTCAAATAGCATGAGACAAAGAATTAACCTACCACATCATTACTGTCATTTTTACTGGGTAGGCTGCTTCCACTGCTCAGGGTAGCTGCAGTCACCCAATTGCTCTTCTCTGCCAGCAGGGTTTTGCCAGTGCAAGCTTCAAGACAGGGCTGGAACAGTCCAGGCATGTTGGCTTCTCCATAATCACAGGATTCAAAAGGAGGAATATTTTCTGCAACTCTTGCAGATCTCATGGGAGAAGAACTGGTCTTCTGGCTAATTATGTATTGTAAAGATTCATGCAACAAAGGCAGGTCTAAACTTCTGCCACACGGCCCACTGGTTTGGGGGAGAGGTTGAGACACTGACTTGTCTGGGATCCGGCTGCACAGGGAGTGAGCGCATTCAGCAGGCATCAACACTTTTGATGTGTTCTGGTCTTTACCAGACTGAAATAAGCAGGCCAGGCACATCTGACAAGCCTGCTGGAGAAACATCAGCTCGGTGGGGTTTGCTGAGTTCCCGAGTGCCATCAGTGGTGACATGCTTGCTTCCCCTTCCCTGGTCTGCAGGTCAGAGCTCCCCTCCCTTAACTCCTGGGGACAGGACATCGCATCCGGAGCCAAACTCACAACAGAGTCACTGTGGCGACGAAAAGCACATGGAGCATTGCCTGCCACGTGCAGCAAGCGTGGGCTGCAACAGGAACACGGGGCAGCTGTGGCTTCTAAAGGGAACACTGCACTGTGCCTCTCGGCGGGATCACCTGAAGATTTGTGTTCACTCACATTTGTTTGTTCTTTCACCAGTAATTCCATTAACTGCTTTTGGTCAAGGTCACAACAGTGTGAAAGCCTGACTGGGCTACCAGTCCTCGATTTCGGAGCCTCAATAATGGAAGTACTTCGCCGTCTCTGTGCAATATTAAATCCAGAGCCAGAAAGGTAGTGAACGGATGTTTGACCTTTGTCACAATGGGGAGAAACATCACACCCAAGAAGGTCTTGAACAAGTGAAGGAGCAATAATGTGTGGCTATATTGACAGTGAATGAAAACAAACAAACGTCCTCAAATTTATGCACAAGCTTAAAAGCAATAAATTAAAAGCTGTAAAAACAGCTACATTGTTACTGCAGCTCAGTGAAAACAGACTGATGAAAAACTCTTTAATTGGGAAAAAAATAAAAAAGACAGCTGCTAGGAAAACACATCTTAAAAATGGCACAATGAACTAGAAGTACGCTGTCTACTCAATGCACATTTTAGATCAACTAGAGACATAAGTACTAAGCAAGTATACACTGCTACAAACAAGCGAGAATTATATAAAGCAAGCCCTGCAATCTACACCGACTGAAAACAGCATAAAAGCAGTCATTAAGTATGATCTAGGCTACAGCACAGCTTCAAGAAGCTTTAGACTTACTGCTGAGGGCTGCTGGTAGTGCCCCAGCTGCGGGAGGCTGTGGGGCAGCGCCTGGCCCTCGCTGAGGGGTGGGCTGTACACCCGCTGGATTGCGGGCGGCACGGCGTCGGGCACAGATGAGTAGATGACGCTTTGCTGGCTGCTCTGCGAGTCTGAATAAACAGTGGACCCCTGACCACTGTCGAATGTGCTGTCAGCTGAAAAAAGAATTACATTTTATTTATTTATTTATCTATTTATTTAGAGCTCAGCAACTTAAAGTGTTCAAGTAATGATTTCGGAGCAATGTCAGCATTTGTTTATGTAATTTGAATTTTACTACCTTAGACCTTGCCATTCTAAAAATACGTTATACAACACAATTGTTATTTTCTACAAAGGGCACGTACTGCTCCTTCTAAGCCAAACCCCAACAGTAATCCCCATGGATTTCTGTGCACAATAATATTTTAAGCACACTGATATTTCCTTTAAAGGGCGCGCGTATGGTTGATAGCAAGAATTGCAGACCTTCATGGATTTTCTAGGATAAAGGGATAGAAAACTCCCATTGTAATGTTCACAGCAGATTGTGGCATCCTGGAGTCAGTTCTTCTAGAGAGGCACTGATTTTAGCACCTTTTTGATCAGTGGCGTAGAAAAATACACAACCTTTTATATGCTTTGCATTAGCTCCTCAAATAACCACCAACTTGAGTATACAACAATACCTTGAGATGAAGAATAGGTAAAATAATTCAATTGGATTAGGGGAAAAACACACCATGAAGAAGTCACAGGAAAATGTACTATGGATTTTTTGACTGATGTATGTGACAGAAGGTAAAGCAGCATTATTTAAGCAAGCCTATAACATGATGCCCTGCATTAGGCAGCAGCAGCAGTAGGGCAGCTCTCACTGTAAGCAGGCTATGCGGCACTACAAGAACAGATGCTAGAGGAATTATAACCAAAATGCATCCTGATTTTGTAATCTGTTAGTGAAAAGCTTTTAGCCACCTGCGCGTAAAAACAAAATCAGAGAATGAAATGAAACAGCTACCTCAGTTCAGGTTGGTGATCATTTAAAAGGACGATGCAGAGCTCTACCAGTGTTTCTCATGCCCACTGTTAGCCCAACAGACCAGCAGAATCGCACAACCTGACACTGGGCAAGCATGGCATCTTTTACTGCAGAAAAACAAATCTTCTAACTGTACCACTGAGCATTACTGGTTTAAAAATATCTTTTTACAGTGTTTGAAGCCTGTGAAGTGCAGGTGCTCAGTACTTCCTCAGTATAAGCTACCAAATTTTTCATGAGAAGAATAACAAAAGACAATTGAGAAGGTAGCTGCAAGCACCCAAAAGGCAAAGAGCTTATAATAGAAATCTGAAACTCAAAGAGAGAACAGTTGTATAGTTAACAAAGAAGGCTTAAGTTACAGATGTGTTTAAATCATCTTTCCACTGTAAGGGGTAGGGATTTCTGCAGCATACACATTTTCTCTTTATTACAAACAATTATTCAGGACACCAAGGAAATGAGAAGACTATGGCAGCATAGGATTAATTATTATAAAAGCCATGAATCTCTTAGGTTTTATGAAACAACATGCATTACAGTTCACATTATTAACTTACATTTTTACATCTTATCTCACATGATTATTTGAATTGGTAGAAAAGTAATTTAGAGAGCTCTTAGGCACTAAGAAACTGTTGAAGACATTTGATAATACCAAATGTTAAAAGCTGAGGAGTAGTAAGTAAATAAAGAAAGAAAGTTATATTTACTAAAAAATATTGCTAGTTAACCACCAACAGAACTGTGGGAAGCACGATGTCATTGCACCATCAGAAATAAGGAATAATAATCATCGTGCTCCTCAAAGGATTAGTATAAAGTAAGTACATTACCTAAAATAAATGAAATAAGATCAATATGACTTGAGAATAAGCTTTGTAATACTCCAATATTCTTGAGAATTATGCAAATACTGCATTTCTCACATCTGGTAAAGATTTGTTTTCTTGTAGAGGTGTGCTTGGTTGTTCTAGTATTCAAAGCAGGCCTCTGTATGGCAATTTATACAATGCCTGCATTAAAGCAGCAGCTGTCTCTTTGCTAAAGTAACTTGACTTTAAATATGCTTACATAGAAGTCTAGAACAGTAAAACAAAACCATCATGATAATAGTTTAATAGCAAAATATGTACATCAGATTTTAACCAGAAAAAGTGGCTAAAAAAAAACTCTCACAAAAATTCAAATATTCTAATCTAAAATTATCTGGCAATATTTCCTTCAAGATGTTTAAAGGTATAAATAAAGATTTCAGCAGCAGGCAGAACCTGACTTGCTAACAAAGACTGATTTTAGGGGACAGACAAGGCTGAGTTATTTTAGGCAATTATAAACACTGCTTCCTCGTGCCTTGCTGTTTGCTGGAGACAAGTCTGATGCTCAGAAGTGAAACGAAGAAACACAAGATCTGCAAGGCCAGGTAGCTCCTTACTCCAAGACAGAACAAAACCAGTGCTTGGATTTATAACAGGAGGCATAAAACCCACCTGTCTTGAAATAGCCCAGTGATTATTTTCAAACCAACCACCCTCTGAACATAGAGAAGGTAGATCGTTGGCTTGTGGCCATCAGTGCCAGGAGGAATGCAAGCAACTACCTACTCTGACCCTCCATAACATAGACCAAGCTACTGCCTCATTTCAGGTCCACAAGCTCAGGATAAAACAGTGAGCCTAAACGGACAGAGAAAGCACCTGCATGATAACTTAAGAACCCAATAAATGTTGTCAGCCCACAAGGTCTGATATTGTCAAACTAGTCCAAGTTTTTTCCCATAGAAAAGGGAAACCACGTAACATTCAGAGAGCCTTTTTTCTCTGCTCTGGGTCATTGCACAGACTCACAAAACCACCATATAAGCCATCAAGAGTAACATGCAAATGCAACCAGCTTCAACATCTTCAGGAAGACCTGGCTTTGGATAAACACCCCCATATTGCAAACATCACTTGAAAAGGCGAACAACGAACACCACCAGCCACTGCAACCACCTTGGTGCCAGTTCAAGTTCTGCAATTGTTTCACACAAACTCAGTAGCAATCCCACCAACTGCTCCATTTGAAAACATATTTGTCTTTTCTGCATTTATTGCTACTGAAGGAGTTATCTTTAAACAGTGCTTTTTCTTGAAACCATTTCTTTCAAGCCTTCAGCACTTGCCGGATTCACTTGATGCCTCTGAGCTAACACTCAAAACCTGCATGGCGTCCAGCTGCTGAGCTCACATACTTGTTAATTTTCATACTGGGACATTCATTATCATGTGTACACAAAGCAAACCTGAGACTTACATGCAACGGATGTGATGCTGGTGGGCAGGTTTTGCTGGAAGGGATGCTGGTCTGCCTCGGGTTCCTCCGACTCGGACAGGATGTGATGGCCCGTGTGGGAAAGGTATGTGACTTGAACCTGTTGTGGAGGCGGCGCCTTCGACTTCTCCAAGCACTCAGAATCTCGGCGTTCCTCTGATTGTATTCTAGGCCAAATTCTCTCTCTTCTCCACAGTATCAATGCTACTCTGTCACGTATTGACTTGGCAACTATCTTGAGATCGTTTTCATGAAAAAATCCAGAGTCAATCTACAGAAGAGGCACAAACTTAGCAAGACCATGTGTGCACAGCGGTGCACAAGCAGAAGCGCACACGGGTTTTACTTGAATCACTTCCTAATAGAAAGCATTACTTTGAAGAAAAACCCAACATACTCATTGCTCACAAGAACAGGAATTCAAGAGCTTGATGGGTTGTTATTTATTCATTTACTGGGAGGGGGTTTTTTGCTTTTTGGGGGAATTAAAACTTCTTTCCCTAGTGTCTTTAAGAACAAGTAATTTTTATAAGACTTGACTACCTATCTGATTGATTTATTAGCCAGTTAATCTCCGATGATGAGAAGAGAATAAGCTTAACTGCAGTTGGTTTGTTTGGTTTTGTTTTGTTTTGTTACAACTAACAAAATAGTCAAAAGAAAAAAGCATCTTTGAAAAATGGTATTTCGACAACGCAATTGGAGTAAACCTCATTACCTCTAATCAGAATTTATTGCCTTAACCTTTCCAGCATACAGAGTTTCCCAAATTGGTGTGCTTGATAACACTGCAAGTCAATATGTTAACAGAATTTAGACTCAAATTAACTTCTAACACAAAGTCAGTATTGACTTACTTTCATAAAGGATTTTGGCTAAACTCAACTCAGACTGCTCACATTTGACTGAAAAGGGGAGCAACATTTCTCAGAATTCAACTCCTCAGTGTTGGATGGAAAAAAACATGGAAAATTTCCCATGGAAAAACATGGAAAATTTGTTTTTATGCTCTTTGCATGAAATTCCTAGTCAGACTCCTACTCTTTGTTAGCCTACTAATGAGCTGCCAGAGAATTGCATGTTAAAATCTGCATCTCCTGAAAGATGCATATTCGACAAATTTATCTACGTGAAGGAAGTCCAGAAGTTCTCATTTTGCTCTTGCCCAAAGACTACAGTTTTACAGCTTATATCTTTTTTACGTGTAAAATCAAATAGGTACAAAGGAGCTTAAAATACACTTTTACAAATGGTTGTGGTCTTTTCCACTGCCAACACGCTCAGACTTTACTGATGCTCCTGAACAGAGGATCTGCAAACTAATGGGTGTGAGTTACTGTATCAATGGACCGAACAGGTCCAGAGAGCCTTGCACGGCATTAACTAAGGGAAACAGTGGATTTTTCTTGGCAAAGCTTAACAGGAAGGAACTAAAAACCTGGCATATCAGCAAGTTTCTACACAACTCCTATTCTGACATCTCTACTTAGGGAATGATCACCATTTAATTAAGACGTACTATTTCATCACACAACTGACTGTGAAACATGTTCCAAACAGGTTCCAAACCCAGCAGCATGTTTCAAGTTTTTTGCCTACACCATTTGGACAAGCTGGAATATCTGACTACTAAAAACCTATCAATAATGATAAATAATTCCCTGCACTCAAGAGATCTCCTGCATTTTTCACTACCATAGCACACAAAGCAACACGAACTGATGAAAATACATAAATTTGGTGTTTTGCTCTTCATTTGGACTAGCAAAAAATATCTATGATTGCTTGTCCCTCTAACAGACTCAAGTTTGAAAGCAATTAATTAATTTGGGTATCACAGTAGTTAGATATCTTGGAAGCATACTTATACTATAAGAATTATTTCCCATGAAAAACAAAATATCACAAGCAGGGTAAACTACAGAAGCTCAGAACTCCAAATACTTCCGTAGATATTTAAATACAGATGTAAAATACAACAGTAAGTAACTGTAGTAAAGCAACTTTTAAATGAAGTTCTGTAACAATATATTGGAAAATATATTGGGCCTACTGCAAACAAGTGACAGGATGACAGAAGAGCTTGATTTTCTCATTATTTTTGGGATACATGAGATGATGACTCCAAGAATGGTAAGGTGACGTTAGCAAAGTGACTGCTTCCTAAGCAGAAGGAGTGTTGATGACAACATCAATAAACAGGATCCTTTGGGATTTAGGATATAATAATAGGAACACATGTGCAAGCACAAGAAAATGCAGACCCTTGCCTAAGAGCTTACTTGCTCTTTGCATTCATGACATTAAAAAACCTAAACTGCATTAGATATATTTCAATAGATTTCAGACAAATGTAAAGAGATCAACAGCTAAGATAAACTATCAAATGAATTTTCAAAATATAGAGTAGAAGAGACTTCTTTGATCCTTGAGTGACTTGCTGTTTTGAAACAGCACTTCATGTATCTGATTCCACATCCTTTTTCAGTTTTTCAGTTTTCCTAGTTCACCCTTTTTGTTCTGGCATTCAATCTCAAGATCAACGCAAACTGCTTAATCTAGAGCGGTTTAAACTGAAGTTACTTTACCAGACTTGCTCCTGCTGTCCTTTGAGATTTATGCACTAATTATACATATATTTGCCAGGAGAAGTTTATTTTACCATTTCTTGTGCAACATCATCAGGAGTTTCCTTCTCCAGATCAAAAGTAAACTCAATGGCTCCATTATCTTTGGGTTTTCCTTTCAGTTTCTTAGGATCTTCTACCCAGAGTCTTAAGGCAATAGAGGATTTCCTACCATGGTCTTCTTCTGCAAGTTCCACCCTTACCCCAGTATCTTCAGCAAAAAAGGCATGGCTTAATAAGTCTTTAATTTCATATCTGCAATGGATATAAAGAACAGTCAAACACTGCAAGTCGTAAGGACATTCTGAGAAACTTGTGACAATAAATTGCTATTAGAGGCAAAAATTTACAGTTTTCTTCATGCTTATCCATAACTAACTTGTATTCTTAGCAGAAAGAGGCAATATTTCTAGAGTTGCTGAGGATTGCTGTGTTTCCTATTTAACAAAGCTTCTACAATATTCATACATCTTAAACATACTCAGAAATGCAGATTACAGCCTCCCTTCATGTTCCTTGAGTATCTGAGCTTAATGAGTTCTAAAACAAGGTTCCCTCTAGACAGTCACCTGAGGTTCTACATTTCTTAAAGTCAAGATATACACAAGCAGACCAGGAGAGACCAGCATAGAAGAGTAGTTTCTAAAATCAAAGCTGAAAACAAGTCCACAACTTTGCTTTTTTACATAATTCTTTCAACTTGAGAGAAACACAGCAATTGAATTTATTCTATTATCTTCACATTATACGGCAGGAACATAACCATTTGTATTTCCATTCCACTCAGAGGAGACCCAGAATCTAGATTAGGAACCCACACAGTTCCAAAGTCTCTGCATATACATTAATTAAACAAGACTTGACTATGTGATACAGACCTTTCTTCCTTATTTTTGCAAATGCACTCCCCAATTATCTCCTTAATTTCAGGATCTGTAACTTTCTCAAAGCTTGCTGGCTTTATACCCTAAAACAATAGAGGAAAACAATTCAGTTTGAAAAAATATATATATACGTTCTATCTCTTAAGTAAGGGTGCTTTTATATACTGTGTAGTCAATTCAGCTACTTTGAAGAAGATAGTTTTAATTTAGTATCACTGCATTTTTAACACATTGGCTTGTACGTTACTCAGTCTTACATCACACACATGTCCTTTTTCTTTACAAACAACTGCAGACCTTACTTTTGCATCCTGTGGACTCTGAGGTCATTACTCAAGAAACAGACTTAATACTCAAACAACTAAAAAATTAAAGAAGAGTAATTGCATTTTTCTTCAGATAAGCAGTTTCAAGAATGAGTTGAAAATACTTTCAAAGACCCATGCAGAAATCCAGATTTCTGTTTCCCATAAACCTCTTGTTTTTCTACATCCCCCAGTACTCTCAATTGCTCCTTTCCCCCCCCTCAAAACAATCTGAAACAAAGCAGGTTAGAGGGAGAGCATGCCCAACAGTCCTATGCTGCTCTTGCATTTCCTAAGTATGTTGTCTGAATCTTACTGGAAACAAATGGAAGGACAGGCATAACCTATGAAGAAACTAAGTTGCATTTCCATCAAAAGCTAATTTCTTTTTTCCTGGGAATATGGCTCACTTCTAGATTTGGAAGTGTTAGCCTATGAGCGCGTTGTTTCAAGGAAAAAAGCCAACTGTTTTGTCACAGAAGAAAGCTTACAGAAGCAGAACTACATTCCCCATGTAGGGAGATTTGGCTCTATGTAGATGTAAGAGGAACAATTTGTATTTCTTTCAGGTTAGGTGGGGCTGTTTTAAGAAGACAGAGAGGATTAGAAGAAACACATCTACTTGTAGGGTAGTCAAAGGTCATTTTTCTCTACTCTCTAATATTTCAGGACAAATACCTTCACTCAGCAAGATCCTCCTCAAGGTATTGAGCCTCTGAATTACAAAAACACACATCTTACCAACATAAAGAGAGACTGCAGGAGAAGCAGCGTGCAAGTACTCAAACTAAATAGCAGCTTATATATCATGTCATCTCTGCACGTACAATCAAAATGTACTGTAAAAATAATTAGCAAGGAGACCTGGGAAGTTAATGGACATGTCTAGCTGCGCGTTTTCAAAGCTCAGGCTGATGTTTCCTGATGTGAGGTTGTGGACAGGGAAGAAGGGAGGCTCACTCCAGAAAACAGCAGCCACCCCTCTGTGCTGCTGCCCAGGCAGAGGAACTACCAGACACCCACCTTCGGTAACATGCAACTCACCTCCATTCCCTTCAGCAGAAGTAGTCATTTACTGTGAATACTTCTCATCTCCACATTCACTTACAGAGAGTAACAGTGCTAACACTAAAAGTTATCCTTTTTATTTCTGATGTTCAGCTTAAATTGGAAGCAAAAACTCATATTTGAAAATCTCATATACATCCACTAAATCAAGGTATGTATGGACAATAGTTCAGACATGAATTTTGAACTAGGTTTTGCAGTTAGACCCTATTACTTAAGGACTATTACTTGCAGTGAAGTCAATAAGCAGGGAAAAAAAAAAAACAACAAGGAAACATGATTTCCTTTATCTTAATAAAGACAAAATCCAATTAGGCACATGACTGAATGGGATTTAGACATTGAACTCCATTCAAACCCTTTTAAAGTTTCACCCTGAAAGGACAGTAGCTGTGATTGTACAGCAGCAGGCAAAGAGGCCTGAAGCCCTGAGAAGGGCTCACCTATCCCTGTCTTTATTTAAAAGGATCAGCCCTTACTGAATTTGGTCTTGAAGAAATGTCATGGATGAATTTTGGTGAGGGCTGGTATTTCCCTGGGTATTTCTGAATATTCGAACATCAGATTTTACTTTTACCTCTGTATTGGCATTCTGTTGCCACTTCAGCCTTAGATTTGAGTTTAAAATCAATTCATCTTAACTTCAGGTCAATCTTTACCTTTACACCTTAAGGTTCAGAAGAGTAAAATATGTAATTCATGAATTTTGAAAGCCTCACAGAACAGCTGCAGGCTCTGCTTCCTGCTTCTGCCGAGCCACAGAGGTGGTGCCATAAGAAACTATCCTGAGAAGACTGACTGACCAGCTAAAAAGAACCACTGGATTAAGCAAACTCAAATTTGCTTACAAGATGAGGCTTCAGTTTTTTGTATGTATGTAAAGTGCACCAAAATGAGAGCCTTGTTGACTAAAGCCCAGACTTGCCTAAAACAAGAGTGCACCACAGTGCACCAAGATTGTTTCCCAAAAGAGCTTCAGTGTCTGAATTAGAAATGGAAGAAAACAGAACCACCAAAAGAACAGGTAAAGCTCTAGGAGGTGATCTTCTCAGAGGGGGAGGACGTTAACGCAATCTTTGCAAAGGACAAATCTCAACCTATTTTCAGATGCTCCAGTTTGCTACAGGAAACCATCTATTTCTTATGTTAATGACACTTATCAGGAAGAATGGATAATAACCATTATAACGTACTAGAGCTCCATGTTCACTGAAAGACATCCCCCAAATGTACAAAGGTATCAATTTAACTGCAGGAAAAGAAAAAAAGAAAGCATTATAACTAAGAGGCAGAGACAGCTTCCACCACAGCACCTGAGGAGCTTTCAACCCTCTGGAGAAACACACTGCTCCTAGATGTGTGCTCACAGAAGCCTGCCAATTGCTTTTTAAAATGGAAGTGTGCCTCATGGGTGTTTTGGCACAACTTGAGCTTATGAGAGGCAGGAACAGTATAAGGCAGGTCACTGTATACCTCTTGGCTTAATTGTCCAGAATCCACAAACATCCCTCCATTTAAGTGGTCTGATGAACTCCGACACGGCTAGGATGGAGCAGGGCAGGATGTGTTGGGCAGCTAGGAATTAGGTTTGTCTCAAAACGTTCTTTTGACAGACCTGTGATGACTGACCCTGATTTTTTACCTTACAAATCCCTTTCCTTCCTACAAATACCATTAAACTTTCCACTTCTTTTGAATCTGCTACAAATAAATGATTAAAACAAACGAGGACATAAGATGCACAGTGAAGTACTGCACAAAACTGCTTTTCCAAGGCGTTTTCTCAATGCCCATATGTTACAGGATGCTTTAGCTCCTTACTCTTCATTAAAATCTCCAAGGCCATCTCATTGTAATGCTGAAAATCCTCCCTGCAGCACTGTGCCCTAATGCTTACAAGCCTCCCAACAACGGAGGGGGTTGGTGTGAAACACAGGTTTCTAGTTGAAATCAAAGGATCCATCTCATTCATTTATTCAAAAGCCATCTGTCTCCCCTGAGCATTCCCAAGGAAACATGGCACCAAAATTCAAAATATACTAGCTAAGAAAACTGCACAACTGTCTCAAACAGAAGTAAACTCAACATCCATACTTCTGAAATGGAGGGCTAATTAACTGACATAAGATGGATATGGAGAATTTCATACAAGTTGTTTAAATACAAAAAAGAAATAAAACATACCAAGTCTAAGGATAATCTAAGCAGATTAATTGCAGATCTAAGAAAGTATCTGGAATACACAATTCAGTGATGTTCATAACACTGTCTGATAGGAATTTACCTCATGTGTATAAGCAATATGTAACCTACAAATGCAGAGAAAACATTTGATACATTTAAAAAGGAAAGAATATGAACATTTAACGAGCTAGACAGAACACTATAGGCATTTGGGTTGTTTTCAAGGGTGAGTTTATGCAGCTAAACCCAACAAGGTAGCCACGACCCCCTAGCAAACACAATTGGCCCACAGTGAATTCTGCAGGGCATCAGTAAAAAAACATTGGTCTGGAGCCTCATGGGAAGGTCACAGGCTCTGATGTTTCATCACTAAATATGCCCATTGTCTACATATAAATCTCTTGACAGAATGATTAAACACGCAAAAAAAATAATCTGACTAAGAAAAACCATCAAGTTATGCATGAAAAATGAGATTATGGCATCAGAATGAAGGTCACTGCAAATATGCTGACCAGGAAATCTCTTCAAAATTAACTGTAGTAAACATGGCCTTGACCTGTTGCTTGAAAAACACGTTACATATATCCTCCTACCACACGTAACTGAAATCAGCCAACAAAAGTTTTGCATTTATTATCTCTTGCCTCATTTACTTTGTTGGGTGCAGTGCTGCAGTAAGACCTAATGAGTACAAGATCTTTAACTGCAATTCCCGCTTCTCATTGCAGACTCAAACAAATTTTAGTTCCACTGGCTGTTATTTAGGATGTGACAAAACACATAAGAAATCATCAGGAGAGGACCAGAAGAAGGAGATAATTTAAGCATGTTCGTTTACACAGCAGATCTCTGGCTGTATGGGTGGAGGGAATGGCTGTAACAACCACGCCTGCTCGAGCACAGCAACAAGCCCCTCTGTACGCTTGGGAATCAGCTTGGAAGCGATTGTCACATCACCCTGGACTATTATATACTTTCAGTTGCACATATACAAATAAGAGGGGAAAATTAAAGCAGCGATTGAACTATGAATCTACAGGCAGGGAGCATAAAAGGTGAGCAAATTAAGAAGTATAATGATCTTTCAATATAAATACTTGTAATGTTTAATATCTTACAATAGTAATGTTTACAAAAGGTATCTGTTCCCTGTATCAATATGGGTTACCAACGCATGTGACTTTATAAAAGCTATGACTTCAGATGTCCCTTGCAACCTATTAGCGTACACAGATTTGATGCAGCGTTAGGATGCGGAGTGCAAGTGGTTGCAAATCCGAGCTGATGTACTAAGTGTGGGATGCGGAGGGAATGTGTGTCCCAGTGCAATCCAAGTCAGGTTGGAACAGGCAGAAGAACAAAGGAGTTACTGCACTTTTGTTGCAAGCAATCACCTGCATGATTCTACTATCAGCAAGCAATGCCATCAGCACCACTGGTGGTTGCCATTGAGATAGGCTGGTTTAGAAATAGGGATCAGTATGTTAGAGAGTTTTCTTCCTGGATGTCGGATGACACCACTGTGACACTCAGCCCAAGGCAGGAACAGAGTTATTGTATTTTATATTCTAGAAAGAAAAGCATCAAGAAACAAACGTAAAAAATGTTTACTGTTCAGTCTCGGTTTAACAGAAAGAATAACGTTTACATTCCTGGTGCAAAGAAATTCAATCAAAAACAAAGTACATCTCCCACTGAGGGGCTGTAATACACGCAGCATTCTGAAGCACTCCACTGCTGATCCTGCCCACGTGAGAATCTCAGCAACCCCTTCTGCCTTAGTGAGAAGCTCAAACTTTGGGTAGTCCTGGGAATAAAACTGTGTAATTCAGTCTCTCAATTTTCATCTATGCTCTCCTTCTATATCAATGCCAGTAATGGGTACAGAATGACAATGGCTACCCCATGAGAAGTGCTTGTACAATTCTCCCTTCAGGTGGTCCCCAGCCCAGCAGAGTGGGCAGAGCCAACTGCTGTGTGACAGCTCAGGCCACAGGCACAGCATGCTCCCCACACCCAGGTTTCTGCATCTGAGCACAGAGGCAGTGTCCCCCAGGCCCAGCAGCGAGCTGTGGCTGACTCACATGGCTCCAAGCGGGGTCCCCGTCTGCCGCCAGCTCTTCTGCAGGCACAGCTTCTGGCAGAAGCTGCTGAGCCCCCAGGAGCTGCTCCCTCTGGGACCAAGGACCTTCTGTGGGGCTCTGCTGCTCCTCTCGCACCCTTGCCTCAGAGGTCCTCCCCCTGCTCCTCCTCCATATCTGACAGTCCATGCAGCTCATGGCATGTGACAGGGCATTTTCCTCTCCACAGGGAGAGGTTAACTCTTTCCTTGTAATGGCAGCAATGTCATTTTGTCCACCAAAGGAATCCTGAGGCCTCTGCTCCAGTTGCTCTTGCTTGAGCTCAGCAGAAAAGAGCAGTACCAGTGTCTGCACCCAATGCGTGCTGCTTTGTCCTATTAGTCAGATCTAAAACACCTCTCTTATGAGCAAAGTGACCTTTTAAAACTTATCCACAACAAACATTTTCTCTCTCTTAAGTTGCAAGAATAAGACCACTCTTACAAAGTTATAACTTACATATAGCTCTGCTGTGTAAAGGCTATTGCCACAGAAAATGAGTTGGCTCAGACTTTCGTCAGAGTTTAAAAATGACTACTTAGGTCTGCAAATTGAAATGTAGTGTCTAGTTAATAATCCTCTGATTAATACTTACTCTTTACCATCTTGGATATTGTTTTGATAAATGAGGCTTATGAAGCCTTAATCAGCAATATTCCAGATGGCTAAGAGTTGTACACAAAGCTTTTCTAAGAATGTGGAGCAACAGAAGACACCTATATTGTTTGTGGCTCTAATCCTTTATGTCCATGCACAGGTGAGCTTACCGTGAGCCAACTGCTAACAAATTTGGCATGCTGCTCACATAAACCTCTGCCCACTGCAGCAGGTAACACACCAAACTCTCCTCAGAAAAACCATCACTAGATTGATCAGTCCAAAAATGCACCCACTGCTACATTCAGGAGATGAGGCCCCCATGACCTAAAGCCAGAATACTGTTCTACCGTCATCACGTGAAGCACCAAAGCATAGGGAGATCTTTCCTCAGATATACACAAAGATGGCATTTAGAGCAGATACTAAAGGACCACATACCTAAATTAAGCCAACAAGCCACGGTGCCAACAAAACAAACTTTTCCTTGTAGGGGAGGAGGGAGCAGAACAGAAATGCAATACAAGCAGCTATCCTCATAAGGATTCAGGCAAGTGACTGCACCAAACATCAGCTGTATTCCACTTCTTTGAAAATATGTAGCACTCATTTCCAGCCAGCTCATACTGCAGAGCAGCGGGGCTTGCAGTCAGCAAACCTGATGACCCATCTTTTCCTCATTCCCTTCCCTACAGGGGTGGCCCAGCCATTAGTGCAGGAGCTAGCAATGAAGTTAACTGCACTGCAGAACAGCTTCTGATGTATTTTTCACTTCCCTCTCTGAGTAGCAGTGGGTTGAAATCAGCACTCTAAGAAGGATTAAAGTAGCCAAAATCAGGGCCGCAGTCCATTGGGAAAGATTCAGCTTTGCCAAGATACAAATGTCAGCTTGCAACAATTTACATAGAAATGAGATAAAGCTGTTTCACTCTTCAGATGCATCTTTCTGCTTTCAGCACATCGTGACATCTCTTTCATTTCCAGCAGGGACACCCTCCTGTTTCTTGTGATAGTGACTTAAACTTTTAAACAGACTCCTGAATCATTTGCATCCTCCCTCTCCCATCAGGGTTAGTAATATCACAGCTGGTTAGCACAGCAATCCACAACAAGAGCACCAGATTCGGTCTTGATTGACATCTTCATCAGTGACCTGGATGAAGGGACAGAACGCACCCTCGGGAAGTTTGCTGGCAACACAAAGCTGAGAGGAGTGGCTGACACACCAGAAGGCTGTGCTGCCACTCAGCAAGACTTGGATAGGCTGAGAGCTGAGAAGAGGAAACTTGTGAGGTTCATCAAAGGCAAATGCAGAGTCCTGCACCTGGGGAGGAACAACCACATGCATAGTACAGATTAGGGGCTGACCTACTGGACAGGAGTTCTGCAGAGAAAGACCTAACGTTCCAATGGACAATAGGTTGACCATGAACCAGCAATCTGCCCTTGTATCCAAGAAGGCCAGTGGTATCCTGGGGTGCATTAAAAAGACCATGGCCAGCAGGTCGAGGAAGATGATCCTCCCCATCTACTCTGCCCTGGTGAGGCCCCATCTGGAGTACTGGGTCCAGCTCTGGGCTGCTCAGTTCAAGAAAGACAGGGAACTGCTGAGAGTGTCCAGTGGAGGGCATCTCCCATATGAGGAAAGGCTGAGAAATCTGGGGCTGTTCAGCCTGCAGAAGAGAAGGCTGAGAGGGATCTTATCACAGTGCTTATAAGTATCTACAAGGCAGGAGCCAAGTGCACTGGATCAGGCTCACTTTGGTGGTGCCCAGCAATAGGACAAGGAACAATGGGCACAAACTGGAACACAGGAAGTCCCATCTGAACATGAGGAAAAACTTCTTTTCTTCAAGAGTAATGAAGCACTGGAACAGGCTACATGGAGAGGCTGTGCAGGCTCCTTCTCCAGAGACATTAAAAACCCATCTGGAAGCTTTCCTGTACAGCCTGCTGTAGGGAATCTGCTTTAGCAGAGGGGTTGGACTACATGATCTCCAGAGGTCCATCCAATCCTTACAATTCTGTGACCTCTTGGCAGACTGGTTCTCAGTGATTTGAGCACAAAATATACCTAAGAACATTAAAATGCACATCATCTGGCACATGCAAATGTATGGGTATTGATGAAAGCATCTCTATAACCTGTGCGAGAGACTATCATTCACTAAGTCAGAAACTGCAATCTTGAGCTCAGGCAATTTTAGCCAACCACAGTACTTTATCAGACTTTATCTGTACTAGCATGATCCACTAAACTAAATGGAGAAGGCAAGTGGAATCAAATGCATTTCAAAATTGACCAGTTTTTATTTTTCATTTGTGAAGATTTTTGCTCTCTGCAAGCAGTGGAAAAAGAGAAACACTAATTTAGGACCGTGCTTCTGGCTGAGATGGGTTCACTCACTACATCTACCATACTTTAAGTCTAACCAGTCCTTCTACCTTATAGGTGAAAAATATTATAACCACCTGAACTGTAGCTATTTTTGCAAATTGTAGCCTAGCCTACTTCAGAGAACTGTTCTCCACATCCTGAGTGTGCAGTCTGCATCTTTTGGTGATGGGAATGCACAAGGGCAAAGGCACATAGCTCATTGTGTCCTTTTGTAGAAACTGGATGGAAAGAAGTACCTGGAAAAGCCTTTGACAAACCAGACTGTTTAGCATAACCTATGGGGCAGAAACTCCCATATTCTTGTTTTTACTTATCCAAGCAGAGCAGAAGATAACCACCGCTGCCAAAGCATTTGGCAAGTCCCTTTTCTCTGCAGTCAGTGATTCCTCCACTGATTTTCAAGCTGACAGCATCTTCCAAACTCAGATTTTTCAGGCATTCACAGTGCAGCTCATGCAGACAAATATATTTGTCACATGGAGGTGAGGGTGCTGGGAAGGATACTTTTTTTTTCAGGATAGAAATCATTTTAGATTGGCTTCTTCTATGCCCCGATTTCACCTGCAAATGCAGCAAACCCATTTCCATGGTTCCAGTCTGGGAATTAACAGAGCTTGCAGAACAGATAAGCTCAGACATAAAGCTCCTCTGGCTCGTTCCCAAACTAAACATTGCCATATTTTCCCTTTTATATTTTCAGATAATTTATTACACATACAAGGTGCAAGAATCTACGCTGGAAATCTGAATCAAACATCCTACGCCACATAAATATTTAGTCTCCGATCTAAAAGTTAGGGCTTTGTTGGCTTGGTGGGAAACTTGATCAATTCTGACAACCCCTCTACAGGAAACAAGACAACAGCAGAGGTTCTTCCCTGCTCGTTTTCCCCAGGTCTCGCACACCTTCGGCTGAGTGAGACAAAATGGGCAAAGATTACTGAAAATACCACATGCAACTGCAGTGCAGGCAAACACAATTCAACACACAACTGCAAGCTCTTTGAAAAAGCCTGCAGCAGTTTCTGCATCTCAGGACTAAGACACCTCCATTTCTACAACAAACTGCACACATAGGACAGCAATGACATCTCACACTGCACTACGCTTTCAAATTTTCTGATCAGCAAATTCCAAATTACAGACGTAACTGAAATTAAGGAAGTTTACTCACACAGGTTACTTTCCGGTAAATTTGAGCAGCATTCTGGCATTCTGAGTAGGGGTATTCTGAGGTAGCCATTTCCAACATGCACATTCCAAACGCATAGACATCAACAGATTCATCGTAGTGTTCCTCATACATTTCTGGGGCCATAAATTCTGGTGTACCTACACAAAAAAGATGGTAAATTATTCATGAAGTCTGAAAGGTTTCCATCACAGTCTTGTTCTGCCTACAGAAATGTGTCCATTGCAACTGTGCAAGGGGGCATGCGAGATTATTTCAAAACAGGGAAGTAACTAGAATAAGCTCAAGCATCCTCCAGGGAAGAAAGCAAAAGTCTACACACACTCATAGATCTCACTGGTAGTATACACAGAGGGGGAAAACATACTGAAGTTTCAAAAGAGAATACCGAAATGAGATATGGCATGGTGTCTGAATACACTGAAAGCTACAAAATGGTTTCCTCCTCTGGATGAAGAGAGGGACACGCATAGAGGTCTGTGGTGGTGAAAAGGACCAAAGAAACAAGAAGCTTCAGTCTTGTTTTTGTCAATGCAAATTTGCATTTCTTCCTCCAGGGAGATGCGCAGCAACCACCGAGCTGATGAGACAGCACTTTGAAAGCAAGTGGTATCAGAAATTCATCTAGGAAGTCATGCACAAAGCATTAAACATGATTCTACCCCTGCTTCAATAGTACAGATCAGTGAGACTACTTGCAGAATAAGGTCCTACTCAAAAAGGGATTAGGGTGTCAGGAGACCAATAAAACTGGATAAATGAAGGGAAACATTGTACTTACTGCTTCATAACGGGAAGTTGCAGCGTTATGACAAGTACAATGCCTGCAAAAGTTCTCTTATACAGAAAAACATGAATGAATGCAAAATGTTTCATCAACAACCTCAGAGTAACTCCTACGCTTCACACAGACTCAAGAGCAGCTCAGCCTTTGTCAAAAAAAAATCTCTGCCCCAAAAAGGTGTGGTCTGGCAGAGCAAAATTAACACTTAGGTAATTCATTCCAGGAACTTTATCTCCTAAAGTAGTGCATGCTTGGGAGTCAAGAGCGATTTTTGTTTTCACGTACAGAAAAGATGAAGGAAGGAGATTAACACAGTTGTTTTCTTCGGGAGAGACAGTTCCAGTGAGCAGTAGGCTGCCAAAAGGAAGGTGAGCAATCCCAGACCCATAACCTGGCCTTCAGCACAGCAGGATCTGCCTCAGCACCCACATCCTCTCCCCAGAGCCCTCCGCCAGCTGACATGCACTGGCAGCTCTGCTTTTTGGCAAGGACACCTCTACCATTGGCACAACTGTAATTAAACAACAGACATCAGGAGAAACACTTCTCAAATTTATATATGATTGGTGACCTGATTTAAGTTGTTGGTTGTTTTTTTTTCCTAATGGTAGCATAAACTACGTCTCTCAAAATTAGGGTTTGTCTCTGAAACTGCTTTTGCATGCATCACAAAGTAGGCTGGGCCTAACTCACTAAACAAGCCTCAGTTCTGGCACTGCTGTAACATTCACAGAACTCTGCATCACTCTCTCCTTTTGTTGATGCTCCTTTCACCTTAAGGACATTCCTTCCTTCAGCCTTCATAAATCAGCTGGATCCCTGTCGTGAGAGCATAGCAGCCATGCTCTGAGTTCAGCTCTGACCCCAGGCCTTTTCTTCCAGCTTTCACAAAGGCTGTGGCTGCTGCTCTGAAATGGTTAACAGCTGTCAGAGCCTTTCCCAGAGATGCTACATTGTTTGAGAATGAGCAAGACATAGACAGAGAAGTGGATCTCATGAATTATGGAGCATTTAAAGTTCCTTGCACAACTGAAAAAGTGATAGCAAGTAGTCTAAGAAGCAAATGATATTCTTGACACCATTCCAAATCACCATGAAAATGACATTTTCCACCCAACTCTTAGGGGCGGGAAGGAATACATGCAAGTACTCCTAACAAAGCAGACCACGGAGAAGCTGCTCAGCAGCTACTCAGCTGCACTCTGCAGCACAGGCTTGGCCCTGGCTGGCCTGCCTGAAGAGACACACCGCAAGGTCAGGCAAGCATCAGCGGTGGCACAAATGCAGCAAGGGAAAACCTGGACCTCAGCCACACTGACTTCATCATTAAAAATAATGTAGAATTGCAGCTACTAATATCCATTTAGAGCTACTCCGTCTAGGAAGGTGAGCAGTGAGGACAGCAGGGTGCACGCAGCTCTGGGACATGCAGCAGGACGGGGAAGCCAGATGCTGGGGCTGACACCTGTGGGATTCCCTCCCCACCCTGCCTTCTCTTTTTCAGCCTTCCCATTTCCCTGCCTGCAATCCCAAGCCTCAGCTTCCTGCTCTGGGACAGGGGGGAACTGCATTTTTTCCTATCCTGCTGTAAAGGTGGGAGCTGGCCCAGCATCACCAGTATTTGCAATCCCCCTAATTCTTTCCTTGGAGCAGCACAACTTGTGAAAAAGATGAATTTGGTTATTTTGCCAAAAAGAATACAGATAGCTTGCCAGCAACCTGCAGCCCTTTCCATCATTGAATTTGTTTGACACAGCTATGGTCTGACAGTGCTGTTATAGGAATTCATTTTGCAAAAGCTAATATTGATATTTCTGATATTCCCAGCCCATGAGCAACTGTTACACTGCAAAATAAACTATGGGAAGGAATACTGCCCCTCAAAACAAAGAAATAAAAATACACTACTACAAAGTAAAAGCTAGAACAACTTAACAAACTAACATGATTTCACTGAAATCAGCAGCATTAAGGCATCCCACAGCAGCCAAGCCTATATCCACAGCATCAATCTTACGGCAACTTAAACAATATTGGGTTCTTAAAGTGTGAAGGCTGAAACTTGCACAGAAATCATACTAAATATAATCCCTAAATGTATGAGGCCCTATAATTACTTCGGCAACCACTGCTTTAAAGATAGCATGCCATTTTCATAGTTAGGAATAGTGGCTGTCACCAGCAGTTTGCTAATTCTAGTCATCTCAAATCTTATTTCCATTTACATAAGGAGCCAAATTATGACTGTGGGCACAGTAGCTTCCCTCATTTTCAGCGTCCTTCCTCAAGGATTTATAACTTTCTGGAACTATCACCTACAGACCTGAACAAGGCCAATTTGCTGAGAAAGATTAAGGTAAAAAAAAAAAAAAAAAAAAAAAAGTTTGAGAACTCAGGGAAAGGATATCCCATTTGTGTTTTTCACACAGAAGGCATTAAATTTCACTTTTGCAAAGGAATGACCTCCTTGACACCATTCAGAACACATCCTCCCAGTTCAAGCAAAATCAAGCTCTAATACATTTCTACGTGGTACCCACATGAATCAGCTATTGTGTACCCTAGTGGGAATTTCCTTCAATTTTGTAGCTACTGATTTTTAATAAATTGCAGCTGTTTCAGTAGAACTCTGCCAGGATCACACTGGGGCATAGACAAGCTCTGCAGAAGCAATTTATTTTGCTGATGCCCGGTGACTGGGGATAAGCTGTTCCAGCCAGGGCAGCTCTCCTGTGACCTCCCTGCAAAGACAAGAAGCCTCCTTCTGCAGGGCACTGCTCTGAGGACAGGCTGCCAATGCCTTCAGCTGAAACAACTGTACTTATCCCCACTCACTGGAAGCATAAGATTTCTCAGCACCACCTTGTTGGTGAGACAGCAAGGCAGCATGTGGCTTCCATCCCCCATCCCTTCTCTTTTCCCTCCCAAACAGGCACTGAGCCTGCTCTCAGGGGGATGAGATGCACAAGCTGTTGGGAACTGTTGCTGCTTCTCTTGGAAGAGAACAGAGAAGAATTTGTGGATGCAAAACTATATTTCAATTAAAAATTTACCATTGTAAAGGAAAGAGAAGGCCAAGGTAACATTTCCTAGATAGGCCTTCCAGACGGACTTTTTCATAATGGTATGAAGGGAACAGCCACAAAACCACTTCAATCTCTACCACCAGCCAACACGCAAAAAGCAAAACTACTGTGAAGTGTGAAGGGCAGACAAATTAAAAAGACAACCATCACACCAGCAGAAGGAAGCCATAGAGAACAGACTGATTACCTATTACACTTTTGGCAAACGAAGCTCTCTTGAGGGTTGCCAGACCTAAGTCTCCTATTTTCACAGATCCAGTTGGTCCAGTAATAAAAATATTGTCACATTTTAAGTCTCTGTGAATTATTGGTGGAGTTCTCGTGTGCAAGAAAAGAAGACCCTTCAGGATTTGCCGGCACCAACTACGCAGGACTTTTGGTTTCATCACTTTAAATCTCTTCAGATACCTACAGAACAAACAGGAAGAGAAGCTGGTTATAAAGAAAGCAAAGTGTTATTAAAGATTCTTGGGGCTTTAGCAGCTGAAGTTTATTTTTTATAAAAGCCCCTTATTAGATATCATAATAGCAGCTTAGAAACATCACCAAATTGGAAGAGATCTTTTTTAAAGGAGGAATTAGAGCATTCATTTGGGGGGAGGAAGATAATAAGCATTTTTGGTGCAAATACAACCAAATATTTGCAAGTCTAATAGCAAAGCAATTCACTCCATGCAGAGAACTGATTTAGAATATGTTTTATATATCCAGAACAGAATAATACTGAAAATCAATTTTAGGCACAAGACTTTGGCCTCTGTATCATGCACCTACATTTTTACTATATGTCTAGAACATTGAGAAGGGGGAGGGTTCATTTTGGAAAAACATAAAAGCTGCCAATGCATTAGCAGAGCAGCACACTGGATATACTCAGTGATGAGCATTGCTCCCATTGGGGCTGAAAATCTGCTCCAGAATTCATGCCAACTGCTTTATATCAACCTTAACAAGATTGTCAGTAGCAAAGCTATTAATATTGTTTAGTAGATAACCTAGAGCATCTCCTGCTTCAAAAGGAGATGCTACCATTCGAGTGCTATTCTGGCTTTGATAACAAAACACACAAACACAAGAGCAGAAGCAATCACAGAAACACACGCTGACAAATGGAAACGTCACAGGCGCACAATGAAACAAGGCAGAGAACTGCTTCCAGTTACATAAGTGAAGCAGAAGATCGGGGAAGGGGAGACAGAGGCTGAAATTCTTCCTGTCAAGTCCATGCAGTCTAAGCACAGGGACGAATGACAGACACCAGAGAACAGCTCCATTTTTATCCTTTATCTCGAGGTGCCTTTTTTCAGTATGCAAAAGTAGGATTTTTCTAAAAATTTCCATAGCTATTCTTAGACTGCTCGCCAGGAGCACAGTACTTACGTCTTCAGTGTTCCAGAGGTCATCAGTTCGGTAACCAGCACGATGCACCTTTTTCCTTTTACACAGGATTCCCAGAAGTCATAAAACCTTACAATGTTTGGGTGCTGTAGACCTTTCAACATTTCTGCTTCTTCTTTAAATCTCTGTCTCTCTACTTTTGTTAATTTTCTGTCCTATAATCCAAAATAAAACACTATTAGTACGGAATGGACAGAAAACAAAGCCACCATGCTGCTACAACAGTCAGAATTCTTGTTATATGCTTGTATCAAGAACACTTACAAAATCTTTTACGTAACAGATGAGCAATGTGTATGAACTAGGGCACTCGCCTTAAACCCAGTGTCAAGAAGACAAAGACTTGCCTCAGAACAAAGAGCTGTCTGTGCTAAGCTACATGACAGCATTAATATTTCAGGCAACATAAACATACCAGGGTCCTGATGTATCAACACACGGCTATTTACTTCTTGTTTTTGTGAGGATCATTGTCTGAGAGATTAATAAACACAGAGTTTCACTTCCAGGTGCGCAATATCGTCACTAGCAGAGCTACTGCCTCCCCTTACAGCCCTGAATACTGGACACAGTAAATGGCTGCACCTGTGAACACCTGGCAAGGGCTTCCAGGTGAGGTCCCTTGAGTAACCCCACTGCCTGTGCAGCTCCTTCTGTCTCTCCAGGGATGAATTAAGACAATACCGCGTCAAAAACAAAACAAAACTAAACATTTTTTTCCTATTCTCTTTGCTTGCAGCCCTGCTTAATTTCAGAGCTCTCTTTAAAACTGACAAAAATTGACTCAAAAATTCTTCTTCTTTGGCTTTTCTTTGGCTGCATGGCTACACTTATAATTTTAGCTCAGAAGCGTGAGCGATGCCACGTTCTATTACTGCCTTTTTTCCCTGAAGAAATCTGGGAGCATTTACTCCAGGCCGTAAAGCATAAGTTTAAGCAGCACTGAAGCCCAAGAAAAGCTGCTTTCCTTCAAGAGCTCCTGGTGCCAGGAACAGCCATATGCAACTCAGAGACATCAACCAAGTCCCCCCCAACCACTGCCATGTTTCTCAGCCCATTCTGCAGGCTCAGCACAGGAAGGCTGCACGGGCAGATATCCCAAGTGATGCTACCTGGCCAGCAGAAGCCTTCCTGCTCTAATTAGCACCACCCTACCTGACAGCAGGCACCTTACTCCACACCTGGCCCCTACAGAGGTGCTTCACCTGGGGCCATGCAGCCACTTGGCTCATGTCCCGCGGACAGCAGAATGTGCCAGGAGCAATGCAGTCCAAAACTGCCCTAGAAATGAAGCGTTTTAGTTCTCTAAAAGGCACAATTGTGTAACTGTTCTTACTTACAGGAATGCGGGCTCACAAATCACTGAAATTAATTAGTTCATATAGTAACCTCGGACATTCTCTTTTTCCCAGTTAACCAGGGATGTTTGCAGCAGCGCACACTTAGCAAATTAAATTGGCAGCCCACTCGTTTGTAACCGAGATCCAGAGCGGCAAGGTCACTGCCATTTTTGATGCAGCCTGCCCTCAGCTGTGATTCCAGAGAGCTCAATGCAGCCATGAGAATTCACAGGGCTGCAAACAAGCTGGCTTTGCACTGAGATCTCACTCAGAAAAGCCTGGGTGGCAATGACGATGTTTTATCTGGGCTTGGAAGACAAAAGGCTGCTGCTCCTCAGGCACAGGGCAGTATTGCCCTTGGAGAACCCAAGGACCTGGCCCCATCACCAGGGCAGAGGGGAGCACCCGGTCCAGCAGCTCTTGGCACACTGCAGCTCCTGCTGCATCGGGCTTCCTGCATTCTCTGTATTAAAAAATAATAACAAAAAGGTTGCCTAATGAGCCAGCACAAGAGAGCCTGAGAATTGCTTTCAAATCCATCACTCCTTCCCCTACTGCTGAGTTTCCTCTTAATTTAAGCCCTGTAGGATAAATCAGACACCGCTGTTAGGGAGGAAAAGGAACGAGCCCTTGTGTGAGACAGGAAGAGCTCAGCCAGGGCCAGCAGGGAAAGGGAAAGAAAGCAACGCAGATCTAGCAAATTTTGAACAGCCTTCTAATTAAATGAAGTGATACTGAACCCCTCAACTCTTGTTTCCAGATTTCTGAGGACTGGGAGAAATTTTCCACTGCTACATTATGGACGACGCTTAAAATACACTCTTCAGACTTTACAGACCATCATAGTTTATATATTCTACACATTAGGAGCATTTAGACTGACAACAGAATATGAAGTACTTAAACACAAGCTGAGCAACAAAGTGATTTTGGAAGACATATTTTCTATATAGCTACAGGTTTGTTATATTTCCCCAGTCAAAAACCAGCTGAGCTCACACTCCTCAGGAGGCAGCCTGGGCCCATTTCTAACACAGAGGAGGGCAGGATGAGGCTGTGGGCTCAGCAGCTGCATGGGCACGAGGGTGTCCCCAGCACAGAGGTTGCTGTAAGGGCATGAACCAAGCTCTGCAAATTCCATGAGGCTGAGCCTGACATGAGCTGTTTGCCAGAACATAAGCTGTTCCTGAAAGGGCTTAGCAGTTCAACCACTTGCTACTCTGGAGCAGCAAAACCTGAGGGACTCACTCAGCATTTTGTCCAAACCCAAAAGCCTTCAAAGGAATCACTGACCCTTATTCCCTGTCATTCAGCCCCCCTAAAGTGGAATGATTTTGTGCTGGACACAAGTATATAAGTCAGAAACAACTTTAGGACAAGCAGTTTTAAGATGGCAACAGGAAAGGCCATGCCAAAGATACAAACCCACAGAGCTGGATGTAAGGCATCACCATGCATAATCCAAACTCAAAATCTATGAAAACTTGGGGGAGTGAAGAGAGTTTCCAGATTCACCCACTGAGTCACCAGTTGTCACGCTGCCTGCATGGAGAAGGTTTGCAGCCCCACGCAGCCAAACACGCGGCTCTCGGGAATGCCGCTGTAACACAGCACACCTCCACTCAACAAGCTCTGCTTGGAGCTGCCCTGCAAGCTCGTGGTCGGTCTGCTGCACCACACTGATGGCACTGCTTCTATTCTGATCTTCCTCGAGACACGAGACTTGAACAGAAAATTGGAAGATGTTTTTAGTGCAATCTGAGAGATATCAGCTGGCAGATACCCGCGCACTTTGTCTCCTTTTAAGGTACCCCAGCTGCTCGACTCTCACCCTCATGGGGACGCAGCCTTGGCTCAGGAAGCTGCATTGTACTCCCATTTAAAATAACCAAAGGTTTCTAAGTCTACTACATAGCACCAAGGTTTCTAAAATAAACTTCAACCTTCGAAAGCGATCACACTGAGCTGGTTTGGCCCTTCCAGACTAACTGGCTTCAAACAGAACCAGGCACAAAGCAAGCCAGCTGCTCAGTCTGCATTACCCCTAAGAAGGAATCTCTGAATTTAACCTGTTCTTCCATCTTAATAAAGATAGAAGTTCCTGTGAGGAACAGTCAGCTTAGAAGGATTCAGCCAAGATTTGTCTACTACAGAATGAGAGCAATAGTGAGACCAGATAAAAGCAGCTTTCTCACAGAGCTGCATCAATTTTGCACATACACACACAATACAAACTCTTATGTTCAGCCTGTTATTTTACTGCAGTGACATAATCAAAAGCAGACCTAGCAGCGTGGAAAGCACTAAGATATAAGAACAAATTCACTCTTGTGAGCAGACAGAAGATTGCACCCACAGGATTGTTAGAAAACTCATTCTCAAGTGCAGCACTGTCAAACCATGGTCAGCTGCCTTAGCTGTGTTTAGAATTTCCCATTTTGTTATTACATCTATTTTGAGCTCCTGCAATTACCTATTTACTGTGTGCTCCTGTAGGAGCATGGCACAGCAGTGTGCATGGCTGGTGCAGGCAGGCTCAGCATCAGCAGGTGCACAGGCACAGCCCAGTCACACATGCTGCCAGGCTGTTCATGCCTCCGTAATTTAACCTTTCACATAAATAAACAGGCATTAATTGGCTTGGAGCTACACAATATATCCTTCACTATGAAAGGCACTCTGTAGCAGACAGATAGATAGTAAGTATTAAAAAAAGGCTATAAATTGTAAGCCACCTTCTCAATGTTAATTTTCTTAGCGTTCAAATTCTTCCTGCTGCAAACCATACGGTAGCTGCACGAGCAGCCTTAAGCATCAGACTACTGAAAGCTATTCCCTTCTTTTTGGAGGAACAAACCAAGTCCCAATTAGTACTGCATATCATTGCTCTTGGTAAATTACATATCAATTCACAGAGACTTGAGGAACGTGGTGTTTGTAGCAGGATGATGCATACAACTAAATTTCCTATTTGTAACTCGTATTTCTACTAACCAGCCACCACCCAAGCATACATGCTCTGTGCTTCTCCCTGTTCTTTCCAGGCAGAGCTACCAAAGCCTTCTCTTTGTTAATATAAAATCTAGCCCTTTATTAATTTCCTTGGTGAAGTACACTAGCGAAAACTGGCATTAGTACATAAATGTGTTAATAAAATCAAAGAGAAGGCTATGAATTACGTTTCTGGAATGACACCCAAATTAACAGCAGGAACATGTTCTGTTAGTCATCCCCAAGCATAATTTCCTCCTGGCTGTAACATATGGGCTCTGACTAACTCTGTGAAAGTTATACAAGCAGGAGGCCAGCTTTCACCTGAGCTTGTAGAAGATTCCTAAGAAAGATTAAGAAGTCAAGATTTCTTGCCTCCTACCTGTGAGAGTGTAACGGATTTGGGAATGAACTGTATTATCAACCAGTAAAGAAATGACATGAAATGGAAGAAAAAATAAGATTATACCAAGTTTTAGTTTGACACAGTAACGCCTAATAATGGTTAGAATTACAGAGCTGTACTTACTGCTAGCTATTTGTTTTTGCCTAACCAAACCAAGTCCACAGGTTGGAACATACTTCAGTCAGCCTGGTGAAACAGAGGTGAGCCAGGAGCAGCAGGCCAGAAGACAAGGGCGGATCTCACCTCAGCACACACTTCACTACATCAGCTGCGCTCCTGTTTAGGGCTGTTTTCATCTTTTATCCAGGCTAGCGATGAAGAAAAGAAAACTGAAGAGGCACTTAAAATGTGGGAATAGAAATCAGATAGCTAAATCAGCAGAATGAACATCTGTTTCAGACTGTTTGATTTTTATATC